TTTTTAAAATAATACTTTATTGTCAACTCAATTTTATAAGGCTGGTATACCTCTGATACTGACATCGATGAGAGAGAAACATCGATCAGCTGCCTCCTGCACACCCCCTACTGGGGATGTGCCCGCAACCAAGGTACATGCCCTTGACCGGAATCGAATCTGGGACCCTTCAGTCCGCAGGCCGATGCTCTATCCACTGAGCCAAACCAGTCAGGGCTGAAATATTTCATATATTGTGGTTATGTTTTTGCCATGATCCAACATTAATTACTGCTTTGTTTTATACTATTCATTTGAACCTTGACTTATTTTGATACATGTATTCCCAGTTATTTTTAAATATGGCAGATATTTCTTTTCTTTTCCCCCCCACATTTGTTATTTCAGCTGTGTCCTAACATAAATTTTTAATTTTCACACACAAAAAAGCAAACTTAAAAATCCTAACCTCTTTTTTGTGGAACATTCTCTCATGTTACACCTTTAAGGTGTTTACATTGACAAAATGATTTTGCCTAGAATTAAGACTTCAATAGATCAAAAGACATGAGTAGACAATTCTTCAAAAATGAGAAAAGGAGCTCTATTGAGCTATCATGTTCTGGACACAAGTAGGTACCTTACATTGAATCCCCACCCTAATGCTATGAGTAGTAGGTATTTTTCTAATTTTACAGATAAACAGATAGAAATTCAGAGAAATCAGTGAATGCTGGACCTAGGTTTAAAATCTATTTTATTTCCAAGCCTGTCCCTTTTTTAAATAATCCTAACACTGCTACCAATGAATTAAAAAAAATAAACATAGTTGAAAAACAAACATGCAGCAGTTAGTAAGTGACAAAGAATTAAAGGATAAATTTGCAACAGCAACAAAAATTTTAAATCTATTGAAAGATACATGAGAGTTATAGGGTATATTATAAAACCTTAATGAAATTTAAATGACCTTAATAAATTCAGAAATAGGCTTGCTCATAAATTGAAAGACTATCTCACTGGTATTCTAGATTTCTAGTCAATTTTTGTAAAAAAAAAAAAAAAAAAGTCCTTAGTTGTATTTATACATATCTAGATTCTAGCAATTTAACTGTTGATAATAACTCATTTCCACCAGACTCCTCTCAAGTAATATCTATATTTTATTTCTCAGTTTTTTATCTGAAATCTAGTACCTGCCCATTAATTTTAATTGAATGAATATACTACACAGTTATCCATTCAATTGATGGATATTTAGGTTGTTTCCATTCTTTCTATTAAAAACAATGCTACAGTTCGGCCAGTGTTGCTCAGTGGTTGAGCATCAACCTGTGAACCAGGAGGTCATGGTTCGATTCCTGGTCAGGGCACATGCCCAGGTTGAAGGCTTGATCCCAGTGTGGGGCGTGCAGGAGGCAGCCGATCAATGACTCTCTTTCATCATTGATGTTTCTCTCCCCTCTCCCTTCCTCCCTGAAATCAATAAAAATATATTTTTAAAAATAAAAATAACGCCGAAACTGGTTTGGCTCAGTGGATAGAGCGTCGGCCTGCGGACTGAAAGGTCCCAGGTTCGATTCCGGTCAAGGGCATGTACCTGGGTTGCGGGCATATCCCCAGTAGGAGATGTGCAGGAGGCAGCTGGTCGATGTTTCTCTCTCATCGATGTTTCTAACTCTCTATCTCTCTCCCTTCCTCTCTGTAAAAAATCAATAAAATATATTTTTAAAAAATAAATAAATAAAAAATAAAAATAGAAACAATGCTACAGTAAGCATTCTTATTCATATCTCCTTTTGCAGATAAGGAATTTCTCTAGTATACATTCCAGTATAGTGGAATTGCTGAATTGGTAATTATGCGCATCTTCAAATTTACTTCTGTTATCATTTGTTCTCCTGACTGATTGTATCAGATTATATTCCTATAATCTTTATGAGAGCGTCCATTGGATTGTCTGTGTTACTAATCTTGATATTTTTTACCCATCTTCATTGGTGTAAAAATGATAGCTCAGTGTTTTTGACATTTAGCTTTTCTATGAAATGCCTACCACTTTTATTGTTTTATCTTAATTTATAAGAACTTAGATACTAATCATTATGTTTACTACACATATCCTCTACCAATCTATAACCTGGTTGTTAGGGTTTTTTTTCGCTTTTCCAAATCTTATCTTTGTTTTTTATAGTTTTAATGGTTTGTAGTTTTGTATCTTGTTTAGGAAATTCTTACCTCCAAGATCAACATATTCTATATTTTACTTTAAACTTCATTTTTCTTTTCATATTTAGTTCTCTGAATAGGAATTTGCTTTTGTGTAGAGTATGAGGTAGGTTTTCAAGTCCATTCTGCTGGTCTATGTGTCTGTCCCCACAGTCTCTTGACTTGAATAGTATTATTAAAATCATGATGATTGATAGGACTGACCTTATTCTTTAATTTTTTAAATATATTTTTATTGATTTCAGAGAGGAAGGGAGAGGGAGAGAGAGATGGAAACATCAGTGATGAGAGAGAATCATTGATCAGCTGTCTCATGCAAACCTCACACTGGGGATCGAGCCCAGAACCTGGACATTTGCCCTGACTGGAATCAAACTGTGACTTCCTGCCCTGACCGGTTTGGCTCAGTGGATAGAGCATTGGCCTGTGGACTCAAGGGTCCCAGGTTCGATTCCGGTCAAGGGCATGTACCTTGGTTGCGGGCGCATCCCTGGTAGGGGGTGTGCAGGAGGCAGCTGATCGATGTTTCTCTCTCATCGATGTTTCTAACTCTGTGTCCCTCTTCCTTCCTCTCTGTAAAAAATCAATAAAATATATTTAAAAAAAAAAAAAAAAAAACTGACTTTCTGGTATATAGGTTAACAATCAACCACTGAGCCATGCTGGCCGGGCACTGACCTTATTCTTAAAAATTGTTTAGGATATTTAAGTTTTACTGATTTTTGGTATTAATTTCCATCTCAGCTTCTTAAAGTAGGAAAGGTTGTATCCTGTTGGTATTTTGATTGAAATTGCTTTGAATTTGCAGATTAATTTGGGGATAATTTACATGAATTGGGTATATTACTCCATGTATTTACATCTTCTGTAATACCTTTCAATAGTAAAGACATCTATTCCCTCAATAGGTCTCATACATCTTTTGTTTGGATTTCATTTCAAGTTCCTTATATTTTATGTTGTGATTTTAAGTGTTTTTTATTACATTTTAAGTTGGTTAGTAATATATAAGAATATAATTTATTTTCATATGTTGATTTTAAATCTAGCAACCTTGCTGAACTCTCTTATTAATTCTGTAATTTATCTATAGAATATTAGGTTTTCTGGGTAGACAGTCATATTGTAGAGAATAATTTTGTTTCTCCCTTTTCATTCTCTTTACCTTTTTTGTTTTTTAACTTAAATTACTGTGTTAGGTAGGACTTCCTATTAACTGAAGTTGAATTTGAAATTTGCCATCAATTTTTTTTTTTTTTTTGCCATCAATTTTTGGTAGAACTTTTTTTAAATGTATTTTTATTATTGCCATAATACAGATGTCCTCCATTTCCCGCCCTTTGCCCCCCTCCATCCTGCCCCTAACCTACCCCAGGCCTTCACTGCACTATTGTCTGTGTCCATGGGCTATGCATATAAGTTATTTGATTAATCTCTTCCTGCCCTCCCACCCCCCCCCCCCTTCCCTCTGAGATCTGTCAGTCTGTTCCATGCATCCATGTCTGTGGTCCTATTTTGTTCAGATTATTTTGTTCATTAGATTCGACATATAAGTGAGATAATGTAATATTTGTCTTCTTTGACTAGCTTATTACACTTAGCATAATAATCTCCGGGTCCATCCATGCTGTCACAAAGGGTAAGAGATCCTTCTTTATTACAGCCACATAGTATTCCATTGTGTAATGTACCACAATTTTTATATCTGCTCATCTACTGCTGGGCATTTGGGCTGTTTCCAGATCTTAGTTATTGTAAATAATGCTATGTAAACATAGGAGTGCATATCTTTATTTTTTTAAAAAGTTATTTTGCCCTAACCGGTTTGGCTCAGTGGATAGAGCATCAGACTTCGGACTCAAGGGTCCCAGGTTTGATTCCGGTCAAGGGCATGTACCTTGGTTGCGGGCACACCCCCAGTAGGGAGTGTGCAGGAGGCAGCTGATCGATGTTTCTCTCTCATCGATGTTTCTAACTCTCTATCCTTCTCCCTTCATCTCTGTAAAAAATCAATAAAATATATATTTTTTAAAATTTATCTTATTGTTCAAGATATTACATATGTCCCCCTCTTTCACCCCTTCCACCCTCACCGGTAGACAGTGGGCATGTTTTTTAATTTCTAGTGTAGCACATAATAGCAGTCGGTAAGTATGCATTTAAGAAATGTGTGAAAGTGATATACTAACCATTGGTGAAGCTCTTCCAGTACCAAAAGCAAAGATTAAGAAATCATGCTGGTTGACTATTAAAAAACTGCAACTGTAGCTAGATAACATTGGGCAGATACCCCTTACTATTGTTACTATCTATCGCTTTCATTAGCACTAATAACATTTAACACAGCTATCTACTCAAATCTGTACAAAACAGGGAAAGCTCTCACTAGAATACATAAAACAGTCTAGAGTGGCATTGAAAGCTTTAAGAAATAATACATAACTTTCTCATTTACTAAGGGTCTCAAGGCTTCTTTGTCCCTTTACAGGTCTTGTCTCACACCCAGAACACTTCTCTGTATGTGTAGTAGAGAATGGAATGATTCAGTTACCATGATGAAAGAGAGAGATTATAAAAACTGTAGGTCTTAGCTTTTTTGTTCTTGTGCTTGTCTTTCAGTCAAACAGAGGTCAAATTGAAACTGCTTAATTTTGGAAATACTTTTCTAAGTATATAAGTATACATAAAGGATTATTTTAATTCTATAATTAGTTCATTATCATGGAGCTGAGATTGTTTCTGAATTTTTTTAAGGAAGCATTAATTTGTACTATTTGTGTTTTTCTTCCTAGTTTCTGCCACTGCCTTCTACAAAGCACAACCTGTAATTCAGTTCATGTGTGAAGTTCTTGACATTCATAATATTGACGAGCAACCAAGACCTCTGACTGATTCTCATCGGGTAAAATTCACCAAAGAGATAAAAGGTGAATTAATTAGCATTTGGAACAACTTAACTATAAAATTCATGAGTATGACAAACTTATTGAAAATTTTTTTAATTATAATTTATTCATGTAACATTACCAGTAAAATAAAGATCAGTTATAAAATATTCATTACAATAACAGCTTAGTGTTTCAGTGACAGAAGTACCAAGTAGTGGGATTAATAGCAATAGCAGCTAATTTTTTGTTAATACTTTCTTTTATTAGCTGAAGGTGTAAGAGTGTCTCATAGGGAAATGCTTCTATGATACTGTTAAAAATAGAAAGGTTATTTCAAAAACACTGGTACTTCAGAATTGGAATCATTCTTTGAACAAATTCTAATACAATGACTTTCTTGTTTTTCTGAAATGATAGCAGAATATTTTATTCCTTAGAAAATTTATGGATAAGGGGCTAGTCTGTTTCATGTGTTCTAGAGTTGGAACTTAGTTATTTTATGTACATTATACAGATGATCATTGATCTTGCCTCATTTAATTAGTAACTAAAATTTGTATAGTGGTCTTGCATCATATGTATGTTTTACTGATTTAATTCATCTCTACATGGTCTTCCCCCAAAAAATAATTTTAATATTGTTCTAAAGTATATATTTTGTATATATTTAACTTTTTATATGTATGTACATTCCTGTATACATTTAAAAATGCATATACAGTTTTATATGCAGACCTACATACACTAATTTTTTTCAGCAATTTAAGGGAATTTTCAAGAGCAGTTTTGATTAAGAGTAGTAGCTGAGTGCATCTGCTTGCTCTAGTAGTCAATCATTCTTTGCCATTTAGTAACCAGGAAAGAGGTAATCGTTGTAATAAAGCATTACAAGGAAAATCTTTCCTGCTTTGAAAATAAGCATCCATTTATCTCAAGTAATTGAAGTACCAAAATAAGAAAATGTACTCTACTGCAATCATACCATTATCCTTTCATAATCTGTATTAACTGCACAGTTAGCATTGTTGGGAGATAGTGCATTACCCGCCATTAATAAGTGATCATCTAAATGCCATGGTTTCCCGTGGAGTTGCTGCTTAGTTACCACCTCTGATATAATGAAGTCACTTAGATTATTTTGCGGTAACTATGCTATCAACTCATATCACCACTTTATCACAGAAAATACAAGATGTACAGAACAAGGATTCAACTGCTGCCCGAAGAGCATGGACTCGATCTTAACTTCAACTGCTCAGGGGTCTAAAGAAATGACTGAAAAAATGACTAGAAAGCATTATAAAGTTGATGTTATAGTGAAGGTAAAGCCAAGTTTATAGGTTAAATATTTGACTTATTAAAGCCAATTTTTTTTGTTGTTGTTGGATGGAGGGTTTTGGGTGGGGGGGGACCTGGGCAGAGAATTATGTAATCCATTTTTTTTAAAATTTCGACTTTCTCCTAACCCTAGGTTTGGGTCTAATCTGTAGGAACCTATAAGCCTAGATTTGAGGTAGAAAAATCTGAATTGAATCTAATTAACAAGCTAATGATTTTTTTCTCCAAAATCAAGAAGGCTTTTTTTTTTTAAAGATGGCTCTTCAAAGTACATCGAGTATTACTACCACAGTAACTCAAAAAAATCAAAGTTATGCCCTGGCTGGTTTGGCTTAGTGGATAGAGCGTTGGCCTGAGGACTGAAGGCTCCTGGGTTCGATTCCGCTCAAGGGCACATGCCTGGGTTGCGGGCCCAATCCCCAGTAGGGGTGTGCAGGAGGCAGCCGATCAATGATTCTCTCTCATCATTGATGTTTCTATCTCCCTCTCCCTCTCCCTTCCTCTCTGAAATCAGTAAAAATATTTTTTAAATCTTTTTTAAAAATCAAAGTTATGTGTTTTGTGCTATATATTTCAGTTTAATTTTTAGCTGGCAAGAGGAATTTGATGAAAACCTAAATAGTGATACAAAGTATGATATAATGAATAAATTTCCTTAGTATATTCCTTTGGTTCCTTTTGAACTTTTTCCTAAATATTAAGTTGGTTTCTTTGTGCAATAATTCATAGTTAAACAGCAAAATATTGGGGGAAGTGTATGGTAAAAGTACCATATATGTAAGAGTACCAATTTATTTTTTGTCCAAACTTACATATTAGGCTTGTAGAACCTTATTAATAAATTTTTTAATTCAAGGGGAAGGCTTGTAAACAAATTGCTAAGTGATGTAAGATAACAGAAATTGGTTTTAAATTTTCTATTGTATTTTTCCCCTGAACATAACTTTTTACATCTTACATACTTTAAATTATTGATATCTCCTTCTTTTAAGGCATTCCCTTGATAATATTTTATTTTCTACTCTCCTTAATAATATAGAGGCATAGTAAATGCTCTAATTGATCTGAAATTTTATAAAGGTAATTATTAAAAAACTATTTCTCACTGATATAATTAGGTACTCAAAAACCTATACCAATCTGGTACAGTGACACTGTGTTCATTTAACATCTTAATTTTTGGTGATATATCAGAAGAAAACACTACTATGAGTGAACTTTATGTTTGGTTCTATAATTAGTAATTAGATAGGAAAATAAGTTATAGTATAGCAGGGTTTCTCAACTTTGGCCCTGTTGATGTTTGGATGGGATGATTCTTTATCATGGCAGAGGGTGGGAGTTAGTGCTACCTTGTGCATTGTAGGATATTTAGAAGCATCTCTGAATCTAAGTGTCCCTAAATCTAGCATCCACTAGATGCCATAGCACCCCGCAGTTGTGACAATAAAAAATGTCTGTAAAGTACAGCATATAATTAATTATAATTAATATTAATTATATTATATTAATTAAATATATCATTTATTTATATATTGTTATTATATATTAATTATAATTATATTAATTAAATATAATTAATACTGTAGTAACTTTGTATGGTGCCAGTTGGGTACTTGAAATATCAGGGGATCATTTTGTAAGGTATGTAATTGTCTAAACACTATGCTGTACAACTGAAACTAAAACAAAATAATATTGAACATAAACTGTAATTAAAAAATAATTTTTTGTTAAGTCTCCAAACATTTCCAAATGTTTCCTGGAGGGCAAAATTACCTCGGTTAAGAATCACTGCACTATAGGAATCACAGGTATAAAAGGGAAATAATACAAAGGTAACTATGAGTACTACCAGGGAACTAAAAGTTTCCTTCCATCTACCCATTTTTAGATTCCCACCTTTGGAGTGTAGGCCATAGAAGTGGAGTTTGCTAATCTGTGAGCAGTAACCACTGTATGTGTTTAACTCCTCTAGGTAGCTCTAAAACCATTGGCCAATACAGTAGCCATTAGCAAACATAGCTATTTGAATTTAAACTTGTTAAAATTAAATTTTCAGTTTCTCAGTCAAAGTAGCTATACACTTGATGTACTCAGTAACACATTGATAGTGATTACCATATTAGCACAGATATCAAATATTCCATCATTTCAGAAAACTATTGGACAGCACTGCTTAAGAAAATGTATCCCAAAGAATTTCAGCCAATGATTTAAAAGTTCTTCTTTCCCTTTCTAAAGCAGGTATATATCCTCAAATCCCTAGAGTCCACAAATGGGCTACAAGAATCCAGGAACATAAAAAATCGCATGTTCAATTATGTGCCTTTTCCCGAGTTTATTGCTTTCATCGGATTCTCAAAGAAGTCAGTGATTCCATAAGAAAGTAGGAATCACCTGATCTAGGATTCTTTTGGTTGCATTTGAATTCTAATAGTATTAAAAGCTGTGTCACTATATTATACTTTATCAAAATTGTCACTCCACTTAACATTAAAAGGGCCAGGATTTTTTTTTTTCCTTCCTGCTTTAAAAAGCTCTGAAGGACTTCATTCTTGAGCTTTACCAAATTCTGATCTTCACTCAGTAAGTGAACAAGGTTTTTATTAATGGAGAACTTTGTCCCATGATCTACAAGCTTTGTAGATTTTATGATACTATTTTTTAATGTGTAGAGCTTGACATGATAGAGAAGATGTTTGGAGTTAAGTCTATTGTAATTGTAACCATTATTTGCAGTGTTTTATATAGAATCCTTTGTTAATATCACATTGCTTTTATCACAAATTTTCTGTTTAGAATTTGAGTTTTTATAGTAGTGAACAGATTTGGTAGCTCTAAATATTTTACATTTGACAGTTCTGTAACCTTGTTTTTCTTGTTGGGAACAGGTCTGAAGGTTGAAGTGACTCATTGTGGAACAATGAGACGGAAATACCGTGTTTGTAATGTAACAAGAAGGCCTGCCAGTCATCAAACGTAAGAAAAGCTGGTGTTTGTCAGCAGAGATGATGTGAGGCAGCTTGCTCTAGTTAAAGGATTGGGAGTGTTGCTGGCTCATAATGAGATAAGAGTTGTTAATGTGTACTTTTTTTTTTTTTCAGCTTTCCTTTGCAGTTAGAAAATGGCCAAACTGTGGAGAGAACAGTAGCACAGTATTTCAGAGAAAAGTATACTCTTCAGCTGAAGTACCCACACCTTCCCTGTCTGCAAGTGGGGCAAGAGCAAAAACATACATATCTGCCACTAGAAGTAATGTGTTTAGGCTGCTTATTAATATCTTCTCATTCATCGTTCTGTTGTGGTCTTTTATGGCCTATAACTTTATATACTCAGATTTATTTTATTCTAAATTTTTGTTAATAAAATAATATGGAAAAAATTTATCCACAATCCTACCACTCTAAATGTCACCATTTTGGTACACTTCTTTTCAGCCTTTTTATTCAAGTTTTTAAATTTTACCTCTTATCATACTGTAAAGCAGTATTTACTATTTTACTTAATATGATATTAAAAAGTAATAATTTGATGAAGTATATTAAAAATATAATTTCATATGTAATTGGCACTGAGATTTAAAAAAGGATATATACATCTAGTACAAAACTTTTTTTTATTTATAGGTCTGTAATATTGTGGCAGGGCAACGATGTATCAAGAAGCTAACGGACAATCAGACTTCCACTATGATCAAAGCAACAGCAAGATCTGCACCAGATAGACAAGATGAAATTAGTAGATTGGTTAGTACTTAACCTTAGAAATGGGAATTAAAAATATATTAGGGTGAGCTACTAAAGAACCATGTCCTTATCAGCTTATACCTAATTACCATTTTATGAACTATGAGGGTTGCAAGGGATCATGGAAGTAATATAGTGGTGTTCTGGGGGTAAACCTTAGCAGGTTCTATGAGAAAGGTTAGACCCTTTTAATTTAATCCCAAACTCTTTAATTAGATACAGAACAGATTCAGAACTAATGTTTCAATTTAGTGAACTGGAACTTTATTGCCTCCCACCTAAAAGAGGAGGGGAAAAGGAAGAAAAGTAAAGGTATCACGATTAGCGATAGTGAGAGGTTTAACACTCATCGTAGGATTGCTTAACCACCAATATCAGACTGACAACTACAGGATGAACAAAGAAATACTAAAATTTCCTGTGACAGAGGACTGGATAAAGATGTACATATACACAATGGAACACTACTTAGTCATAAGAAAGGATGAAATAGCACCATTTGCAACAACATAGATAGACCTTGAGAACATTATGCTAAGTGAAATAAGTCATAAAAAGCTAAGAACTATATGATTTCACTCATATGTGGGATATAAAACTGAAACTCATGAACCCAAACAGCAGTGTGGTGATTGACAGGGAAGACGGGTGGGGAGAGAAGAGGGTTCTAATATAAGGTGACAAAAGAAGATTTGACTTTGGGTGGTGGTCACACGGTACAATATACAGATCTTATAGAAACCCACATCTGAAACCTATATACGTTCATGTTGACCAATGTCACCCCAGTCAATTTAATAAATAAAAAAATTTTTTTCAAGAAATATCAGATGGCTCTCACCACATAGGGTTTCTAAGCTCTCCCATTGTTCTAAATGGGGAGGAAGGAAGAGTTATCAATACCACTTTATAAAACTGATGTAATCAGGCAAAATGAAAAATAAAAGGCACCTGGATCTTATGTTCTTTTTTCTTTAAATAAAGCACTTCTTTTTTTTTTTTTTTTTTTTTTTTTTTAGAGAGAGAGATTTGTGTTCCACTCATTTATGTGTTCAGCAATTGGTTGATTCTTATATGTGTCCTGACAGGGATCAAACTCACAACCTTGTTATATTGGGACGATACTCTAACCAACTGAGCTACCTAGCCAGGCTATATTATGTTCTTCTTTAGCATCATTTGAATTGTCCAAGTGAAGAGAAAAAGTCTGGAAATATGAATATTATCTAAAATAACTTAAAAGCACTTTCAAAATCAATCTTTTTTAAAAAATATTTTTTTATTGGTTACAGAGAGAGAAAGGGAGAGGGCAAAAGATAGAAACATCATTGATGAGAGAATCATTGAGATTCTTTTTACATATTTAGATTATATACGTTACTTTAAATGGATTGTTACTCAAAAACTTGAACAATCACCTTGTTTGATCTTTACCCTGAGACGAAGTAAATGTTTGAAAAACAGTTAAATATATATATATATATATATATATATATATATATAAAACTATCCTATCTAATAATAGACAAACATGGTAATTAACCATACCTCCGCTACACTTCCCATTGGCTAATCAGGATATGCAAATTAACTGCCAACAAAGATGGCGGCCGGCAGCCACACAGCTAAAGTGAACATGAGGCTTGCTTGCTCCAGTGATGGAGGAAGCCAAGGTTTCCCGCCTGCGGCGGCCCAGCTCTGAGCTCTGGATGCAACAATGTTGCAATTATAGAAGCTAATCAAACCCCAGGTACCTGCTTTCAGCCGGCCTGGCCTCAGAGCTGGGAGCGCCAGTGATAGCAACAATGTTTCAATTATAGAAGCTAAACAAAACCCAGATACCTGCTTTCATCCAGCCACGGCCTCAGCAGGAGCTGGCTCTCAGCTCCAGTGACAGCTATAGAAGGTAAATAAATCCCAGAATAATAAAAAAAAGAAGGCTGGGTGCTTCAGTTGCCGGCCAGCCTGAAAACGGCCCTCAGCCCCTCACCCAGACTGGCCAAGCACCCCAGTGGGACCCCCACCCTGAAGGGGGTGTGACTAGCTGCAAACAGCCATCATCCCCTCATCCAGGCTGGCCAGGCACCCCAGTGGGGACCCCTACCCTAAAGGGGGTGTGACCAGCTGAAAACAGCCATCAGCCCCTCACCCAGGCTGGCCAGGCACCCAAGCGGGACCCTCACCCTGATCCGGGACACCCTTCAGGGCAAACCAGCCAGCCCCCACCTGTGCACCAGGCCTCTATCCTATATAGTAAAAGGGTAATATGAAAACTGACCCTAACAGCAGAAAGACTGGGAATGACTGGTCACTATGACACACACTGACCACCAGGGGGCAGACTCTCAATGCAGGAGCTGCCCCCTGGTGGTCAGTGCACTCCCACATGGGGGAGCTCTGCTCAGCCACAAGCCAGGCTGATGGCTGCCAGTACAGCAGTGGTGGTGGGAGCCTCTCCTGCCTCCTCAGCAGTGCTAAGGATGTCTGACTGCAGCTTAGGTCTGCTCCCCGCTGGCAAGTAGACATCTCCCGAGGGCTGCCAGGCTGCCAGAGGGATGTCTGATTGCCATCTTAGGCCCAATCCCCCGGGGAACAGGCCTAAGCCAGCAAGTGGTCACCCCCGAGGGGTCCCAGACTGCGAAAGGTCACAGGCTGGGCTGAGGGACCCCCTACCCCCAAGTGCACAAATTTTTGTGCACCGGGCCTCTAGTATATAATAAAGGCATAATATGCTAATTAGACTGGACAGCCAAATGACCTTCCAGCTATCATTCTGGATGTCATTCCAGACGTCCTTCCGGATAGAGCCACGGGGGCTGAGACAGGCAGTTAGGGGTGATCAAGCAGGCACACAGAGTGGTTAGGGGCAATCAGGCATGCAGAGGTGGTTAGGGTGATCAGACTGGCAGGCAAGTGGTTAAGGGCGATTAGGTAGGAAGGTGAGCGGTTAGGGGTGATGAGGCAGACAGGCAGCGGTGGTTAGGGATAATCAGGCAGGCAGGCAGATGAGAGGTTAGGTGCCAGTGGTCTCGAATTACAAGAGGAATGTCCGACTGCCACTTTAGGCCCAATCCCACAGGGTTGTGAGAGGGTGCACCGGGTCTCTAGTGTGTGTGTGTGTGTGTGTATACACACATATACATACATATGTATATATATACACACATATATATATACATGTGTATGTATATATGTGTGTATATAGCATGCTATAAACATGAATTGCACTCTGAGATCCAAGTCTACACTGAATTATGACAGATTCTTTATGTATGAATAGATATAAAAATTATAATTTGTATTTCTTTTTTTTTTTTTCTTTCTTTTTTTTTTTTTTAAATATATTTTATTGATTTTTTGCAGAGAGGAAGGGAGAGATAGAGAGTTAGAAACATTGATGAGAGAGAAACATCAATCAGCTGCCTCCTGCACATCTCCTACTGGGGATTGTGCCTGCAACCCAGGTACATGCCCTTGACCGGAATCGAACCTGGGACCTTTCAGTCCGCAGGCCGACGCTCTATCCACTGAGCCAAACCGGTTTCGGCTATAATTTGTATTTCATACTGGCTTTCTTACCTGTCTCAAGTGTATCCCATTAAGTAAATTTTGCAACATGGTACTTTTTATCTGAAAATATTGAAGTAAAATTTTTAAATACATTTATTGATTTTAGAGAGAGAAAGAGAGAGAGGTAGAGAGAAACATCGATGAGAGCGAAACATTAATTGGCTGCCTTCTGCACACCCCCTACTGGGGATCGGGCTGGAAACCCAGGCATGTGCCCTGACCAGGAATCAAACCGTGACCTCCTGGTTCATGGGCCCACGGTCAACCATGGAGCCACACCATCTGGGCTTGAAGTAAATTTTATATAAATTATAAATCAAATAATTGGAAGAAAGCCATAGTAATTAGAGGAAAAATTGTTATCAATATTTGCTATTCTACATAGTTTTAATAGTATATTGTAGGCTAGGTATTTCTTTCTCTTGCAATCTCTAGACCACCCTCTCCAAAATATATTATGTTTAATCATATAAAATTACCATTTTCGTGTGCCATAGATAGTTGAAATTTCTTATTATTCAATCTAATACATTTAAATTTTCTATAAATTACCAGTAGGTTCACAGACTTCCTGCAATCATTTATGATCTGTGAACCCCGGGTTAAGATTCTCTGCTCTATAGCTTAGGGTACCATTAACAAAACCTATTGTAAAACATGTTGACACAGTGAAAGGAAAAAAAAATAGAGAATTCTAATACGTAAAGCAGGAGATTTGGAGGAATTTTTTTTTTTTTTAAGTAACTACTAACTTTCTGCTCTTAGGTAAGAAGTGCAAATTATGAAACAGATCCATTTGTTCAGGAGTTTCAATTTAAAGTTCGGGATGAAATGGCCCATGTAACTGGACGCGTACTTCCAGCACCTATGCTCCAGTATGGAGGACGGGTAAACCTCTTGGTAGTTTTTAATTACAAAAATAACAGTTTCTATGTATGGAGATTTCTAAGTCTTGAATTTGAAAATGTTTTATTGTTTCAATATTTTTTTGTTTCAAGGTGTCTTCGCTTGGGTTTAGTAGAGTTTTTTTCTATGATAACAAAGTATAAATAATATTGATTTAGAATAACCTATTCCATGTAGAATATTAGATATATATATCAGCTATTGAAATAAACTATATTAAGTGTTTGTTCTTTTCTGCTGTATTTCTATTTCTCCTTTTTCTGTAGAATCGAACAGTAGCAACACCAAGCCATGGAGTATGGGACATGCGAGGGAAACAGTTCCACACAGGAGTTGAAATCAAAATGTGGGCTATAGCTTGTTTTGCCACACAGAGGCAGTGCAGAGAAGAAATACTGAAGTAAGTCTTGTCATTAGTTTGGCTTTGAAACCGTTTTGTTTTTAAATTTTGTATTTCAGTTTTAAATTATTCAGCTAATGGTCTAACCCATGTTGCCTCAGTATGACATGTACTTAATCGCTGAGCCTTTAAAAGTGTTTCTTCTCAATATTTTGATGAAGATTTCTGAATTTGTTAATCATAAATTCACTAATTCATTCTTGTAGACATCCTAATACAGTGGTCGGCAAACTGCGGCTTGCGAGCCACATGCGGCTCTTTGGCCCCTTAAGTGTGGCTCTTCCACAAAATACCGACTTCTGCACATGGGCCACGAAATTTCAATCGCACTGTACATGCACGCCCGCACGTGGTATTTGTGGAAGAGCCACACTCAAGGGGCCAAAGGGCTGCATGTGACTCGTGAGCTGCGGTTTGCTGACCACTGTCCTAATAGACTAGCTTAGGTGGTATAGCAGGAGCATCATTGACTGTAGTGGCAACTACGTTTAATTCCCAACTTTGCTACTTCCTAGCTTTATTACCATGGATAATTTTTTAATCTCAATTTTTACCTTTTTAGAATAGAGATAATAGTACTAAATAAGATTCTTATTTCTCATTCGAGTTCCTTGAAAGAATGGCTTAACTCCTCATTTCCACTTCCTTACTTTTCAAAGTTTGGCCTCCATCTCCACCATTTTCCCTCTATCCCAGATTTTTCCCCTCAATTTGTAAGTGCTCGCCAATCTTCTGTTTAAATTTTAAGAAACACCCAGCCGGCATGGCTCAGTGGTTGAGCGTCAACCTATAAACCAGGAGGTCACAGTTCGATTCCCAGTCAGGGCACATGCCCCAGTTGTGGGCTCAATCCCCAGTGTGGGGCATACAGACGGCAGCCAATCAATGATTCTCTCTCATCATTGATTCTCTCTCTCTCTCTCTCTCTTCTCTTTCCTCTCTGAAATCAATAAAAAAATATTTTTTTTAATATATTTTATTGATTTTTTACAGAGAGGAAGGGAGAGGGATAGAGAGTTAGAAACATCGATGAGAGAGAAACATCGATCAGCTGCCTCCTGCACATCTCCCACTGGGGATGTGCCCGCAACCCAGGTACATGCCCTTGACCGGAATCGAACCTGGGACCCTTCAGTCCGCAGGCCGACGCTCTATCCACTGAGCCAAACCGGCTTCGGCTAAAAAAATATTTTTAAAAAAAAAGATAAATTTGTAAGTAACAAGCCCTGTCTCGTTGCTCAGTGGTTAGAGCGTAGGCCCACGGACGGAAGGGTTACAGTTAGATTCCCAGTCAAGGGCACATACTCGATTGCAGGTTCAACCCTCCCAGCTCTGGTTGGGGTGAATTCAGGAGGCAGCCAATCGATGTATCTCTTTCACATCAATGTTTGTCTCTTCTCTCCCACTTCTCCCTCTCCTCCACTCTCTCTAAAAAAAAAAATCAATTGAAAAAAATCCTGGGTGAGGCCGAAGCCAGTTTGGCTCAGTGGATAGAGCGTCAGCCTGCGGACTGAGGGGTCCCGGGTTTGATTCCGGTCAAGGGCGTGTGCCTGGGTTGCGGGCACATCCCCGGTGGGAGGTGTGCAGGAGGCAGCTGATGGATGTTTCTCTCTCATTGATGTTTCTGACTCTCTACCTCTCTTTCTTCCTCTCTGTAAAAAATCAATAAAATATATTTTAAAAAAAAAATCCTGGGTGAGGATTAAAAATAATTAATAGCCCTAACCGGTTTTGCTCAGTAGATAGAGCATCAGCCTACGTACTGAAGGGTCCTGGGTTCCATTCCGGTCAAGGGCATGTACCAGGGCTCAATCCCCAGCCCTGGTCAGGGCACATACAGGAAGCAACCAGTCAATGGGTCTTTCTCACATCGATGTTTCTCTCACTCTGTCTCTCCCCCTCCCTTCCTCTCTCTGTAAAAAAAATAATGAATGAATGAGTAAATTTGAAACAAACAAAAACATCTTCAGTTTTTTAATTTACCTAACTTATTCTCTCAGGCTTCCAGGCTTCCATTCTTTCTCCTTCCTAGAAATTTTAATGCTCTGCTGAAACTGGTTTCTGGAAGATCTCCAATCTTTGTGCTTATCAGTTCTAATGGTCTCGTCTCAGCCATTATTTTTCTCAGAATTTGTGCAGCATTAGATACAGTTGACTACTTTTTAAAAAAAATTTTTTTTTTTTAAATTTCAGAGAGAAAGGGAGAGGGAGAGAGAGATAGAAACATCCACAATGTCTTCCACGCCCCACACTGGGGATCGAGTCCATAACCCAGGCATGTGCCCTGACCAGGAATCGAATTGTGACCTCCTGGTTCATATATCAACACTCAACCACTGAGTCACGCCAGCCAGGCTTTTTATTTTAAATTTTGTGTTGTTGTTAATCCTCACCCAAGGATATTTTTTCCATTTTTTTAGAGAGTTGAAAGGGAGCAGAGAGACAGAGAGAAACATGGATGTGAGAGAGACAACATCGATTGGTTGCCTTTCCCATGCGCCCCAACTGGAGCCGGGGATCGAGCCTGCAACCGAGGTACGTGCCCTTGCCCGGGAATTGAACCCTTCAGTCCACAGGCCAAAGCTCTAACCAGTGAGCCAAACTGGCTAGGGCACAATGACTTATTTCTAACCTTCTCTCCATTCTTGCCTTCCATGTTCCTTTTTATCATATTGACTTCTTCTCTGTCTCCTCTCATTTGGGACTCTCAGGTCTTTGGGCCTTTAGCAGCCTCAGGGGCTTCTGCTGTCGCTTTTCTTTGAGCAGCTGTGCTGTTGTGAAAGAGTGCCAGTTCCTCTTGTGACTAACCCCATTCCAAACTTTTAGACTTCTCTTTGACAAAGAATAACATTAAAACTCAGTACGACATTTCAGATAATTCACCTGCCTCTTAAGTCATTTCATTTTCACATATTTGGACAGAAAACTGAAGCACTGCATTTCTTATATCTCCCTGGCATTGTTTTCCATTTCCACTTATGCTACTCTTTACTATCTCTGCTCATCTAAATACTATTCAATCTGCCCTGGCCAGGTGGCTCAGTTGGTTAGAGCATCATCCCATACACCAGAAGGTTTCAGGTTCAATTTCCCGGTCAGGCACATACCTAGTTTGGGTTCCATCCCTGGATCGACATTTCTCACATAGATATTCATTCTCTCTCTCTCTCTCTCTCTCTCTCTCTCTCTCTCTCTCTCTCTCTCTCATATTCCAAAATCAATTTTTAAAAAACAAAAAACCATGTCCTTGGATGAGGGTAAAAAAGAAAGAATAAATAAATAAATGCTATTCAATCGTCTGTCATTTGTGACTCTGGAAATAATCTCTTAACTCTAAACATACAAATTTATTAATATCTTTATTTACACTTGTCACTTTCTGCGTAAAAATTATAATTATTTATTTAAATTTATCTCCCCTCTAGAATCTAATTTTCTTAATAAAATGATTGGTATCTAATTTAAATCTCTATTAATAGAGCCTATAAAGTATGCCCATAACGAATAATTCTTTGTTTTTGTTTTAATTTTTCATTGATTAAGTTATTACACATGTGTTCTTATCCCCACATGACCCCCCATTCCCCCCACTCATGCCCTCGCCCACCTAACGAATAGTTCTTGAGTCATTTAAAGACCAATTTACCCAGGTCAAATCAGAATTTACCTTGTTTCCTTATGTGAAAAATAAAAAAAATTTATTTAATTCTGTTCACTCCTTTTTATTGGCTCCATATATCTAAACATATGTTTTAAGGTTCACTTACTATATTTTTCTCTAAAGTTTTTATCCCCTTGCTTTCAAGTAAAACGTCATAAGGACAGTTTAACTACAATGCTACGATTATTTTACGTGACCTCTAGAGACCAAAGAAAAACCCTCCAATTTTTTTTCAAGAAGAAGAAGGGAATTCCTACAAACCTTATCTCTGCCCTCATGAAATCAGAGTGTTTTTCATCAAAGATAACTGAAATCCTTGACTTAGGACCTTATGTGTTTTTAAAACAAATAAAGTTATTGTTAGACCTCAACATCATTATTCATTTATCCTAAGCTAAATGGAGAATTTTGGTTGAATATGAAATTATTCGTCTTTTGTTTGTTTTTTTCAGTGTGGGTAAAAATACTTAAAAGTGCTGCCTACTTCATTTGTTTTTGAGCATTGGTTTCGTTTTTCTTTTTTAATCTTTTCTGAGAAAGCTAATATTATGGAAGGAAAGTCTGGACTAAGTCAGAGTTCTGACTCTGTCATTTAATCATTTGACTTTGGCCAAATACTTAATTACTCTGAAACTGTTTCCTGACCTATAAAATGGGAATAATACCTGACCTACCACTTCTTTTTTCATGACCTACCTCTTATGAATCTTGATCAATTTAGGAAATGTACAGTAACTTAAATTTATCAAGGTCTTACCATGTCTTGGGCAGTGTGCTAAGTGCTTTGCGTGTATTATCTCATTTTATTTGCACACCAACTCTATCCTGGAAGTAATCATTTTACAAATGAAAGAAACTGAAAAAAATTGCCTAAAATTTCAAAGCTAGTAAGTAACAGAACTGGGATTAAAACCTCTCATGGTAACTCTAGAGCTGAGCTCTTAATCAGCACATTTATTACTAATGCCCTTTGTAAACTACAAAATGCTACACAACTGTATAGTAGTGTTAGTTTGCAAAATAGATTACTGACCCACATTGTCCTAAACATCAATAGTGTGGTGACCTCTTCATTTATGGAGTACATTAATCTTTGCTTCATTCTCCATTCCCTTCCCAAACTTTCTATTACTACTTTGTAGGTATTGATGATTAGACAAATGTTTTATATTTAGTGATTGCTCCTTCTAGGGGTTTTACGGACCAGTTGCGTAAGATTTCTAAAGATGCAGGAATGCCCATCCAGGGCCAGCCTTGCTTTTGCAAATACGCACAGGGGGCAGACAGCGTGGAGCCCATGTTCCGGCATCTCAAGAACACGTACTCTGGACTACAGCTCATTATTGTCATCTTGCCAGGGAAGACGCCAGTATATGGTAAGAATACCTTAAGATTGCATTTTCCCTCAAGTATATGATGTTCCTTTTAGAATGATGCTAAAACATATCCTAAAACTTGCAAAAATGTTATAGCTTACAGTGTTTAAAACCATGTATTGTTATTTTAAAAAGACAAATCAGTAGATCAAACTAAACGGTCTATGAAGAGACCTGGTGAAAAGAATTTTGGTAGTTAAAGTAGGCATTATAAAACAGTGGTTAAGCTTTCCCTGCCGATAGTGCTCTCGCAAACGTGGTGAACGTTCCTAAAACCCACTGGACATTCTGTAAGAAGTGTGGCAAGCATCAACCCCACAGGGTTACCACACAGTACAAGAAGGGCAAGGATTCTCTGTTATGTGCAGGGAAAGCGGCATTATGACGGGAAGCACAGTGGCTATGGTGGGCAGACTAAACCAGTTTTCTGCAAAAAAGGCTAAAACTACAAGAAGATTGTGCTGAGGCTTGAATGCGTTGAGCCCAGTTGCAGATCTAAGAGAATGCTGGCTATCAAGAGATGGAAGCATTTTTTTTTTAAATATGTATATATATATATATATATATATATATATATATATATATATATATATTTGTAATTGAAAAATAAAATTTTATTTTAAAAAATAAGTTTAAAAAGTATGCATTTGGTCATTCAAACAAGCAAAATATATTTGGTCTTCATCCACAGTTCTTGGCTCACATCTCTTCAAACCCTTGGAATTCTTTTTTTTTTTTTAATATATTTTTTATTGATTAAGATATTACATATGTGTCCTTGTCCCCACGTTACCCTCTACCCCCCACCCCCCCACCCCTGCTCATGCCCTCACCCCCCCGTTGTCCATGTCCATTGGTTAGGCCTATATGCTTGCATATAAGTCCTTTGGTTGATCTTTCCCCTTTACGCCCACCCTCCCCTACCTTCCCTCCAAGTCCCGACAGTCCAATCAATGCCTCTCCGTCTCTGGATCAGTCCTTGTTCATCAGCTTATGTTGTTCATTATATTCCACAAATGAGTGAGATCCTGTGGTATTTATCCGCTCTCAAGTTCCATCCATGCTGTGGCAAATGGTAAGAGTTCCTTTTTCTTCTTCCTCTTCTTAAAGAATACCTTTCAGCATTTCATATAATGCTGGTTTGGTGGTGATGAACTCCTTTAGCTTTTTCTTATCCGTGAAGCTCTTTATCTGACCTTCTATTCTGAATGATAGCTTTGCTGGATAAAGTAATCTTGGTTGCAGGTTCTTGCTATTCATCACTTTGAATATTTCTTGCCAGTCTCTTCTGGCCTGCATGGTTTCTGTTGAGAAATCAGCTGACAGTCGTATGGGTACTCCCTTGTAGGTAACTGACTGTCTTTCTCTTGCTGCTTTTAAGATTCTCTCTTTATCTTTTGCTCTTGGCATTTTAATTATGATGTGTCTTGGTGTGGTCCTCCTTGGATTCCTTTTGTTTGGGGTTCTCTGCGCTTCCTGGACTTGTAAGTCCATTTCTTTCACCAGGTAGGGGAAGTTTTCTGTCATTATTTCTTCAAAAAGGTTTTCAATATCTTGCCCTCTCTCTCCTTCTGGTACCCCTATAATTCTGATGTTGGTACGCTTGAAGTTGTCCCAGAGGTTCCTTACACTATCTTCATATTTTTGGAATCTCTTTTCTTTTTTCTTTTTCGGTTGGGTATTTTTTGTTTCTTTGTATTTCAAATCTTTGACTTGATTCTTGGGATCCTCTTTTCTGCTGCTGGATCTCTGTAAATTATTCTTTATTTCAGTCAGTGTATGCTTAATTTCTAGTTGGTCCTTTTTCATGTCCTCCATGGTCTCCCTATACTTACTGAGGGATTCATTAAATTTATCGGCGGTTTCCATAAAATTCTTGAAAAACCTTATAACCGTGGCCTTAAACTCTATATCCAATCGTTTGCTTTCCTCCATTTCTGCCATTTGTGACCTGTTTCTTTGTCTCCGCATTTTGGCAGCTTCCCTGTGTTGATGGAGTGGCCCTGTGCGCCAGGTGTCCTGTAGGGCCCAGTAGCTCAGCCTCCCCAGTTACCTGGGGTGGACACTCTTGGTGCACTCTTGGTGCCTTGGTTGTTGTAGAATCACTGGGAGGAATTGACCTCCAGGCCAATTGGCTGTGAGAATCCGCTGTGTCTAAAGTGGGAGAACTTCTGTGCTGAAGACACCCTTCTGGGGCAAGACTTGCTTCAGTGGGGCTTTGGTGCTCACTGAGTCTGCTCCCTGAGTGCGTCCCTTATGGATCTGAGGAGTTGCAGTCTGGATGGACCCCCTCTGACCACTGGGTACAGTGGCTCCTGGATCTAAGGAGGTGCTAATTCAGCCTCTGCCTGAGGCCACACAGCAGGAGCCACGAAGAGGCTCAGCTGTGAAGCAATGCAAGCCGCTGCGGGGCCTTGGGCCTTCTCTTGGAAGTTCCAGGTCTGCCTGGTTCGGCTGCAGTTAGGTACATTCACATGCAAAAGCCTCTGCCGCAGCCTGGGTGGGGCGGGGTCTCAGGGAGTCAGAGGGCGGAGAAAGCAGCCATGGCCGATTCTCCGCCCGGAGTCGCGCATCTCAGTGTTCCGGTAACGGCTGCAAGCACCCCTGAGGGAAAGCCGCCCTCAAGTTCGCTCGCTGCCGGACAGACCAGCTTCTCCCCGTATGAGACCTGGGTCCCCAGAGACCTCCCGGAACCGGAGTTCAGAGCCGTCGGGAGTTTGTGATTCAAAAAGACAGCCGCGTCCTCAGGCACCACCCCCTTTCCTCGCGCCGTACCTCTGCACTTCACCTCCGCAGCGCCTCTGGCTCTCAGCGTGCTTTTCTTTCCTTCTAGTTGTGGAATTTACACTCAGCCAGCCTTCCTGTTGTTCTGGATGATGTTTGCTCAGTCCTTTGCGATAATTTTCAATTGTTGTGTGAGGCGATAATTTCCCGGTGTTTACCTATGCCACCATCTTCAAACCCTTGGCTTTTTAAATATATTTTATTGATTTTTTACAGAGAGGAAGGGAGAGAGATAGAGAGTTAGAAACATCGATGAGAGAGAAACATCGATCAGCTGCCTCCTGCACATCTCCTACTGGGGATATGCCCGCAACCCAGGTACATGCCCCTGACCGGAATCGAACCTGGGACCTTTCAGTCCGCAGGCCGACGCTCTATCCACTGAGCCAAACCGGTTTCGGCAAGAGATGGAAGCATTTTAAACTGGGAGGAAATAAGAAGAGAAAGGGTTAAGTGATCCAGTTCTAAGCTTCATATTTTGTTTTATTGTCTACTAGAGGCCCGGTGCACAAAAATTTGTGCACTTGGGGGGGGGTCCCTTAGCCCGGCCTGTGCCCTCTCGCAGTCTGGGACCCCTCAGGGGATCCGTCCACTTGCCAGCGGGGAGCAGGCCTAAACTGCAGTCGGACATCCTTAGCAATGCTGAGGAGGCAGGAGAGGCTCCCACCACCACCGCTGTACTGGCAGCCATTAGCCTGGCTTGTGGCTGAGCAGAGCTCCTCCCACGTGAGAGCTCCCTGACCACCAGAGGGCAGCTCCTGCATTGAGAGTCTGCCCCCTGGTGGTCAGTGTGTGTCATAGTGACCAGTCATTCCCAGTCATTCTGCTGTTAGGGTCAGTTTTCATATTACCCTTTTACTATATAGGATAGAGGCCTGGTGCACGGGTGGGAGCTGGCTGGTTTGCCCTGAAGGGTGTCCCGGATCAGGGTGGGTGTCCCGCTTGGGTGCCTGGCCAGCCTGGATGAGGGGATGATGGCTGTTTTCAGCTGGTCACACCCCCTTCAGGGTGGGGGTCCCCACTGGGGTGCCTGGCCAGTCTGGGTGAGGGGCTGAGGGCCATTTTCAGGCTGGTGGGTGACTGAAGCTCCCAACCTCTCCTTTTTTTCTTTTTTTTTTATTCTGGGATTTATTTACCTTCTATGGCTGTCACTGGAACTGAGAGCCAGGTTTAGCTCTGAGGCTTGGCTCCAGCTCTGAGACCTCGGCTGCTGAAAGCAGGCATCTGGGTTTGTTTGGCTTCTATAATTGAAACGCTGTTGCAGCTCCAGCTCTGAGGCCCAGCTGGCTGAAAGCAGGTACCTGGGGATTGTTTAGCTTCTATAATTGCAACATTGTTTCTTAGAGTGCAGCTCAGAGGCTGGCAGCGGCAGGCTGGGAACCTTGGCTTCCTCCACCACTGGAGCAAGCAAGCCTCCTGTTCACTTCAGCTGCCTGGCTTTCGGCTGCCATCTTGGTTGGCAGTTAATTTGCATATCGCCCTGATTAGCCAATGGGAAGCGTGTCAGAGGTATGGTTAATTACCATGTTTGTCTATTATTAGATAGGATACTAATAAAAGGGTAATATGCTAATTAGACCAGATAGACCGGACATCTTCCTGTCATCCGGTCCTCCTTCCGGACAAAGCCACGGTGATGGGGGCTGAGGCATAGGTGATTAGGGGCAATCAGGTTGGCAGGAGCAGTTAGGGGCAATTAGACCGGCAAGGGAGAGCAGTTAGGGGCAGTCGGGCAGGCAGGCAGGTGAGCGGTTAGGAGCCAGCATTCCCGGATTGTGAGAGGGTGCAGGCCAGGCTGAGGGACCCAAATTTCGTGCACCGGGCCTCTAGTATGACAATAAAATCTTGAGGATATGTTCTATTCAACAACAACAAATAAAAACAATGGTTAAAGGAAGAATCATTAAAAATGCTATTGCTCTCCCTCTCCCTTTCTCTCTCTAAAAAAAAAAAAAATTTTTAATGCCATTGATCACTTGATTATCAGTATAATATAGTGGTTATGGAGTCAAACTATGGTTCTGGAGTTAGACTGTGCTGCTTAATACCCAGGTACTGCCAGATACAGTACCTGTGTGTGATCTAGGTAAGTTACTTAAACCTTAGTTTTCTTATCTGTAAATTGGGATGCTAATAACTAATCCCTACAAGGTAGTTGTAAGGATTAGATAAATTTTCATATGTAAATGACCTAGAAGAAATACTTATAGTAAAAACTCAGTAAAGTTTAGCTTTTTTATTATAAACCAATTAAACTTTTGTGTGATTAATAAGTTAAATATAAATCATTGAATTATGGAAAAACACAAAGAAAGTATAATTTTCAAACTACTGAATGGAGTATAATCAGTTAAGCTTAGAAATGATGGAATTCACAAAGGAAAATTATTAGATTTGACTACATAAAAATTAAAATTCCTGTATGTCACAAATGTGTAACTAAAATTAAAAAGGAAACCAATAGAAAGTGAAAAATATTTGCAGCAAATAGAGACAATAAAAGTCTAGTTTATTATTAGTTAAAATATTTATATAGATGTTATTGTGTTCAACAAAGGAAAAAATTATTATATTCTTTTAAATTAATGTGCAAGGAATATAAACCAAAATTTCTCAAGAAAAAAACGAAACAACTAAATATATAAGAAAACGTTAGTTTTCACCAGTAAAGTACAAATTAATTTTAAAAATTTTAAAATTTAGCCCAGGCCTGGTAGCTAAGTTGGTTAGAACATTGTCCTGATATGCCAAGGTTGCAGGTGATCCCTGGTCAGGGAACATACAAGAATCAACCAATGAATGCATAAATAAGTGGAACAACAAATTGACATTTTTTTTCTCCTCCCACTAAAATCAGTAAGTAAAAAGTTAAAAAAAAGAAAAAGAAAAATTGTATGCTACTAAATTAGCAAATATCCTCTATAATAAAAGCGTAATATGCAAATCGACCAAACGGCGGAATGACCGGTCACCTATGACACGCACTGACCACCAGGGGGCAGGCGCTCAACGCAAGAGCTGCCCCCTGATGGTCACTGTGCTCCCACCAAGGGAGTGCCGCTCAGCCAGAAGCTGCGCTCACTGCTGGCTAGCGCAGCGGCGGTGGCGGAGCCTCTCCCGCCTCTGCTGCAGGTGGGCAATAAGGAGGGTTTGGGCTTAAGCTGGTAGGTGGACATCCCCTAAGGGGTCCTGGACTGCAAGAGGGTGCAGCCCGGGCTGTGAGACTCTTCACCCTTCCTGGCGCGCCCCCCCCCCCCCCGTGCACAAATGTTGTGCACCAGGCCTCTAGTATTTAAATATTATAATACCTAGTACTTGTGAGTATGCAGGGAATGTAGAAATTGATAGCATCATTCTCATAAAAAAAATATAAAATGTGTTTTTAGTCTACAATTCAGTATTTCTAATTCTAAAATGGGTTCAAAAGAAAGAAAAATCTCCATGCACAAAACTTTTGTAATGACATTTAAAAACTTAAGAATTGGTTTTATATGAGTAAGTTATAGTATGTTGATGAAATATTATACAGTGATTTAAAATGATGGTTATAAAATTAAAAATATATTTAAGTTGTGACAAAATACAGAAGGGTTTAAACTAAAAGAATTTATAAACTCAGTAAGAAAAAAACTTAATAAACTAAAAAAATGACACAAGACATAAAACAGAAAAACAAATGCCCTTGACTGGAATCGAACCCCAGACCTTCAGTCTGCAGGCCGACGCTCTATCCACTGAACCAAATTGGCGAGGGCTTGTATTTCTTCATTGACTAATGAGGCAGAGCATCTTCTTCTCACATAGGCCATGTCCTGCAAATCTATAGAATCGTAAATCATGCCAAAGCCAGTTGCCTTGCCGCCTCTAAAATCAACTCTGAATCCAAACACAAAGATGGCATTTGGTATGGTCTTATACATTTTGACTAGTTTATCCCAAGTATCTGTCTTAGATGCTGTTGCCTTCCCAGGGTGAAGGATATCAGAGACCGTTTGTTTACGCTGAAGTAGTTTGTTGGTCATGAACTTCCTGGTCCAAATAGTTACTGTGTCATTTATGATGGCGACTGATCTTCAAGGAGCCAGGGAGGAAAAGAACTAGATTTTATTTTCTAGAACAATTTTAGATTTAGAGACAAACTGAGTAGATAATATAAAGTTCCTATATACCTCCCCTCCCCTGCATATATATAGTTTTCCCTATTAATACTATCTTGGTGTGGTACTTTTAATGAACCAATATTGATAAATTATTATTAACATATTGTCCACAGTTTGTTAAGGTTCATTCTTTGTTTTGCACAGGTCTATGGGTTTTAATTAATTAATGCCTATTTCTCTGACTACACTATAAGCTTTGTGAGGACAGGAACAGTGTCTCTATTAACTCACTATTGTATATATCCAGAGCCTTGCACAGTACTAGCATGGATTAGGTGCACATTAAATATTTGTTGAATGAATGAATAAGTATTTAAGGAAGGCAATTTGTTAGCATGTTTAAAAGTGTTAAATATATTCTGAGGCTATAGTTACACATCCAAACAAAAATAAATATACAAGGATACTATCCACAGAATCATTTTAAATAATGAGAACTGAAATAAGCTAAAAATATATCAGTGTGTGACTGGTCAGATACCTCATGGCATTTAAAAACAGGATAACTTCAACCTATATATTGAGATTCAGAACATACTGTATTATTAAGTGAAAATAACAAGTTGCAAAATAGAATGTATAGTGTGTTCTCAGTTTTCATTTTAGAATGCTTCCCGTGTGTTTTGTGTAAGAAGTTAAGTACACTGAACTCTTTGTGGTAGTTCTAATGGCAGAGAGAGGGAAATGAACAGGGGCCTTTTATTCTTTACACTGTAGTCCCTCTGTATTTTTTAAATTAAATCTTGGAGAATAGGATTGAAAGCTGTAAATATATCAGAATTATAACTGCATTAAAATCATATAAATGAGAAAATTACTGAAGAGAATACAGTAAAATGCTAACAAGGGATTATATATTATATTTTTCTCTGCATGGTTTATCAGTTATTGTGGTTATTGTGTTTTCAGGATTATAAAAATAAACTTTTTTACTAGTACACAAAGAAGAAAACAGTTGAAAAAATTATCAGTAAATGCTTGAGCTGATCTTCAAAGCAACACAATAGGTCCTCAGGTTATATCGGAGATCTGTTCCTACGGTGCCACGTAACGCGAATGCGATTTTCGCTGTAAGTCGTCGGAACCCACCTACATAAGCACCTACGTCACTCACATGGAGCACATACACACCAGTAATGAAGTGAAACAGTAAAAAAAATTTAAAAGAAAGATAACAATTCCTGACCTTTACTTGTGGTAAATAAATAATAAAAAACATAAAGCACATATGTACATACATCAAAATGACGGAACTTTTTTTTTTTTTATAAATAAATGGGAGATGGCAACGTAACCACAAAACAACGTATGTCGAGTCCAACGTAACCCGAGGACTGTCTGTATACATTATTAACAGCATTGTTTTAGTGTTGGTGTAATTTTTGGTGCCCTGTAATACAGTAATGTATTTACAGTGAAGAAATACAGTAGCTTAATTTTCAGTGAATTTCAGCCTTTTTTCTAACTAGAGGTATCTGCATTTGTTCCATAGCGGAAGTGAAACGTGTAGGAGATACACTTTTGGGTATGGCTACACAGTGTGTTCAAGTCAAGAATGTAATAAAAACATCCCCTCAAACTCTCTCAAATCTGTGCCTAAAGATAAATGTTAAACTCGGAGGGATCAATAATATTCTTGTACCTCATCAAAGGTAAGTGAAGCCAATCGCTTGATAAAATATTATTTTTTAGCTTAATTTTTCTATAGATTGTCACATCTAAAATCTGTTTAGAAACAGCTTTGATGAATCCTGCCATGGGAGATGAGGAGACATTTTGGCAAAGAATTAAAAGAGTTGGATTAGCAAGATTAAGAAATTTCCTTTTAAAAACCCCTACCCACTTCCATTTTCATTTAGTATGCAAAATACTTCTTGCCTATCTAGAAAGTATAGAGAGCTTTATTTCTTACTGGAGAGCCCAGAATTTTCTTATTATTTGCTAGTCATCTACAACTTATGTCATAAGCCCATTTACTGAGGAAATGAGGGAAGAATGGATGGTGGGGGGATGGGCAAGGAGGATGTCAATTCATTTTATCAGTTAAGAAAGCATATCAACCCCTGCTGCAGTCAGTGGGACAATGGATGTTACTGTGGATCGCCATCATATCTAAGCTCTTAGGAAGTATGAGACTAATGACCTAGAAACAGGTACTGGGGAAGAGGCTGTTATTTGGAGAATTGAACAGCAGGTGTCTTTTAATAGTTGAAGCAGCTAGGGCTTTTTTAAATATCTTGACCAGTATGCACACAGATAAGCATTATAATAAGGATGTGTGTTTGACATAAAGCTCTTTTCCCCTATTTTTCCTTGCTGCCTCTACTTCCTATTCCTATTAAATATGAGATGAGATTCATAAGTGAGATGAATATAGAATGTTATCAACAAGCCCAAGAACTAAGAAATAATCACTTGAAGGATATAGTTGCAGAGATAAAATGAACTAACTACTTTATAACTGTTAATTATATGTTACTCAAATTTATATTTTTGGCCATGGGAGGGAGAGTAGTAAACTCCCATAGTCCCTCTCAGTGTATAGTTTAATTATCTTTTTTTGCCTTGAGAGATTACATAAGCTTAAAATATAAGTACATTAAAGAAAGATCGATACAAAATGGTGGATTAATATGAGGAAGTCTAGCATTTTATGCTTATTATGAAGAATGCTGGCAGCAGTTTCCCTTTGCAACCACCATCACCACTACTTAAGGCAGAAAACTGCTCTGAATAAGACATTGGATAGACCTACTGGGACAGCTTTTACTTCATTGGCCAGGGATTCATGAACTAAGAGAATAAAGCTGTCAATATTTCAGGCCTATGAAGCTGTCGATATAGGACCTTCTCAGTGCTGTGTCAGCAACTTGCAGTTGTGTTACAGTAGTGTGAAACAGATAAATGGATAATGAAAAAAATGAATTATCTAACTCTTTTAAAAAATGTGTTTAAGACCTTCTGTGTTCCAGCAACCAGTGATCTTTTTGGGAGCAGATGTCACTCATCCACCAGCTGGTGATGGAAAGAAGCCTTCTATTGCTGCTGTGAGTGTCATTAAGCTGATTTATCTTATCTAAAGTTTAAAGGATTATTTGATTTCAACTTTTTTAATTTTAATGATATTTTTTTGAAACCACTTTTATAAATATACTAGAGGCCCAGTGCACGAAAATTCATGCACTCAAGAGGGTCCCTCAACCTGGCCTGTGCTCTCTCGCAGTCCGGGACCCCTCAAGGGATGTCCACCTGCCTGTTTAGGCCCACTCCCCGGGGGATCGAGCCTAAGCTGGCAGTTAGACATCCCTCTGGCTTCCCAGGAGCTATTGGGGGATGTCCAACTGATGGCTTGGGGAGCAGGCCTAAGCTGTCAGTCGGACATCCTTAGCGCTGCCACCGAGGTGGGAGAGGCTCCCGCTACCACCGCTGCACTGGCCAGCTGTGAGCCAGCTTCTGGCTGAGTGGCGTTCCCCCTGTGGAAGCGCACTGACCACCAGGGGGCGGCTCCTGCATTGAGCATCTGCCCCTTGGTGGTCAGTGCGCGTCATAGTGACTGGTCATTCCACCGTTCAGTTGATTTGCATATTACTCTTTTATTATATAGGATAGAGAAAAAGTCAACTTTCATAGGTTCTTTGGATTTTTTGAGAAGAATGATTTTGCTCTGGTTTGAGGGCTACAAGTTCCATATTAAACCAAGTTTATTAATGATATTGCTCAAATCTTTATTTTATTCCCTACTTTAATTTGTCTATTTGATCTCTCCATGATTGTATATTTCAGTTACTTTGTAATTCAAAAAGTTTGCTTACATATCTCAGTACTGTCTTTGATACAGAAAGATGAATTACATATAAGATTGGTGGGTTGCACTTTTTTCAATATAAATATCTCCCACCTTTGTCCAGTTTAATACTTTGACCTAAATTCTTTGCCTTAGTCCTACTTTTAACATCTGCCTACTATAGGTTTGCCCACTTCTATACTTACAATTTTTCCATGTCCATTCTTTTAAGTGTATTTCTTAAACTAGAGAAAGCCATATGATATTTTACCCAACTTGAACATTACTTGATTTTTTTTTTTAAATATATATTTTTTAATATATCTTATTGATATTTTACAGAGAGGAAGGGAAAGAGAGAGTTAGAAACATCAATGAGAGAGAAACACCGATCCGCTGCCTCCCGCACACTCCCTACTGGGGATGTGCCCACAACCAAGGTACATGCCCTTGACCGGAATCGAACCCGGGACCCTTCAGTCCGCAGGCCGACACTCTATCCACTGAGCCAAACCAGTCAGGGCACTTGATTTTTTTAAAATATATTTTTTATTGATTTTTTTACAGAGAGGAAGGGAGAGGGATGGAGAGTTAGAAACATGGATGAGAGAGAAACATCGATCAGCTGCCTCCTGCACACCCCCTATGGGGATGTGCCTGCAACCAAGGTACATGCCCTTGACCAGAATTGAACCTGGGACCCTTCAGTCTGCAGGCCGACGCTCTATCCACTGAGCCAAACCAGTTAGGGCACATTACTTGATTTTAACAACTACCAACATTTTGAGTGAACGCAAATTCTTACATTAGAACGTTAAAAAAAAAAATTTTTTTTGAAAGTGTGAACATATTTTAGGCATACTTAATGAATTTTAGAAATTAAGCTGTAAGATTTTTTATATTTTTATTATCTAGTATAATAATCTACATAATTTTGAAGTTTTAACAATCCAATAAACCTTACTTATCTTTGAAAATGATAGTAACAATCATCCATTGATGGACATGTTGTTTCCATGTCTTGGCTACTGTAAATAATGCTGCATTGAACATTGAGTGCACTGCAGAGTTCCATTTTTGAAGCATGACTTTGGTATAACTACTACCCTGGAAGAGAGAGAAACTGGAGGCACAGTTACCATAAGCTGGTTCTCAGCCTAGAATGATGTTTAAACATTTTTAAAATATTCAGGTTCCAGAGATCATGCTTCAGTAGGTCTGTAAGTGACTATAGTCATGGTGAACTTACAAGTTCATGCTTCAAAGTTCCCTCTGCTCCAAACACATAACAGTATTAAACAAGATACAACATAGAAAATTCAGATAGCTACTCTCAAAACCAAGATTAGCTTCTCTTAGGACCAGACAAAAAACACAAATACAACGCAGGAATACTTGACCATGGATTCAAGCCTTCTGGTCTAGGACATTGCAGTAATAGAAGTAAAATTCTTTTAAAATTTATAAAGCATAGCAGTCCTAAGATGATGCCAGAGTCTTCAGTATGGCCTCTGGGGTGGTTTGCTAAAGTGTAAAAGATATAAAGAGAAATCAAGGGTTTTCATGTGTCCTCTTTTTTACTTATCTTCTTTCTCTTATTCTCTTTATGTATGTCTTTTTGTCTCTTTTTTCCCCTTACTAATCATTAGGTATCAGCAACATCTCAAAATTAGAATCTAATTGTTAAATGTAAAGTGCAGTCTTTCTTACAGGAAAATAATTTTTGACCGTATACTGGGTCTTTTATTCTGTTCTTCACTGGGAATTATCTGTTTTTTATTACCCTCCAAATGAACAGTGGTAAATAGTAAGGTTATAGTAAAATACAGATTTAAATGAAATCCATGTACTTTCTTTCAATTTTTTAATTGCAGTAAATTCATAATCATGTAGTCTTGATTATCCTAATTTTCTATTTTTCTTTACTTTTCCAACTTAGGTTGTAGGTAGTATGGATGCCCACCCAAGCAGATACTGTGCTACAGTACGAGTTCAGAGACCCCGACAGGAGATCATCCAGGACTTGGCCTCCATGGTCCGAGAACTTCTCATTCAATTTTATAAGTCAACTCGGTTCAAACCTACTCGTATCATCTTTTATCGGGATGGTGTTTCAGAGGGACAATTTAGGCAGGTTGGTTGCCTGGGATCTCATCATACTATGGTTAAATCAAATACTGTGTATATAATATGGTGTCTAGTTCTGAAGTTAGAAACCTTAATTAAGTTGAGAGTTCCCAGAATCAAAATTTGATGCTTCCTTTTAAAATGTTTACTATGGATGTATAAGCCTTGATTATTAAGACCATACTCTGATAATAATTAAGATGAAATAGAGAGGTATATTTAGCTGTAAGTGATGACATTAAGAAATACTGAGACTAAATAATTATCTTACTTTGAAGTTTGTGTAAGAGAATGGCTATGTCAAGTCTTTCCATTTCATCTTCTCTAGGTATTATATTATGAACTACTAGCAATTCGAGAAGCCTGCATCAGTTTGGAGAAGGACTATCAACCTGGAATAACCTACATTGTAGTTCAGAAGAGACATCACACTCGATTATTTTGTGCTGATCGGACAGAAAGGGTAATCACATCTTTTGTAATACTAACATAAGCCAGGCTTATCTAACATAGTTTGTAGAGCACTTAACAAAGACTCTTTGCCAACAGCAAAGTTTCTAATACATAGTAGTAGATTTCAGCAAAGCAGATTATGAGTATAGAAGCATCAAAATTAGGTTAATTATTTAAAATTTTTAACTTTAGAAATTCTAGTAACATTCCAAATGTTCAAAATCCCATTAATACTTTTTTTTGTTGTGAAGAAACTCATAATTTTAAATTTTTTCCTGCCTATTTGTATGTCCCTTAAATGTTCAAAAGAAAAAAGGTACATTCTCTTTTAAAATATCTTGTAAAAATTAACTTTTTTAAAAGCGAGGGACTGTCTAGAGCAGCCGTGGGCAAACTACGGCCCGTTTGAAATGAATAAAACTAAAAAAAAAAAAAAGACCATACCCTTTTATGTAATCATGTTTACTTTGAATTTATATTAGTTCACACAAACACTCCATCCATGCTTTTGTTCCGGCCCTCTGGTCCAGTTTAAGGACCCATTGTGGCCCTCGAGTCAAAAAGTTTGTCCACCCCTGGTCTAGAGTGATTAGTGGAAATTCTTGCAAACTAACTTTTAAACAATGCCTCCTTTAAAATTCACAAAATTATTTTCTGTATTTTTTTTTAAGGTGAAATAGAATTTATTTATTTTTAATCTTTATTGTACAGATTATTACAGCTGTTCCTCTTTTCCCCCCCATAGCTCCCCTCCACCCAGTTCCCAGCCCACCCCTCCCTCTGTCCTCGTCCATAGGTGTATGATTTTTGTCCAGTCTCTTCCCGCACCCTCCACACCCCCTTGCTCCTGAGAATTGTCAGTCCACTTCCTTTCTATGCCCCTGATTCTATTCTATTCACCAGTTTATTCTGTTCGTCAGATTTTTTATTCACTTGATTTTTTTTATATATATATTTTATTGATTTTTTACAGAGAGGAAGGGAGAGGGATAGAGAGTTAGAAACATCGATGAGAAAGAAGCATTGATCAGCTGCCTCCTGCACACCCCGTACTGGGGATGTGCCTTCAACCAAGGTACATGCCCTTGACTGGAATCAAACCCGGGACACTTAAGTCCACAGGCCGACGCTTTATCCACTGAGCCAAACCAGTTAGGGCTTCACTTGATTTTTAGATTCATTTGTTGATAGATATGTATTTGTTGTCACTTTGTTGTTCATAATTTTTATCTTTACCTTTTTCTTCTTCCTCTTCTTAAAGAATACCCTTCAGCATTTCATATAATACTGGTTTGGCAGTGATGAACTCCTTTAGCTTTTTCTTATCTGTGAAGCTCTTTATCTGACCTTCAATTCTAAATGATAGCTTTGCTGGGTAGAATAATCTTGGTTGTAGGTTCTTGCTGTTCATCACTTCAAATAGTTCTTGCCACTCCCTTCTGGCCTGCATAGTTTCTGTTGAGAAATCAGCTGACAGTCATATGGGTACTCTCTTGTAGGTAACTAACTGTTTTTCTCTTGCTGCTTTTAAGATTCTCTCTTTGTCTTTTGGCCCTTGGCATTTTAATTATGATGTGTTTTGGTGTGGTCCTCTTTGGATTCCTTTTGTTTGGGGTTCACTGTGCTTCCTGGATTTGTAAGTCTGTTTCTGTCACCAGGTAGGGGAAGTTTTCTGTCATTATTTCTTCAAATAGGTTTTCAATATCTTGCTCTCTCTCTTCTTCTGGCACCCCTATAATTCTGATGTTGGTACGCTTGAAGTTGTCCCAGAGGTTCCTTGCACTATCTTCATATTTTTGTATTCTTTTTTTCCTTTTGCTTTTCCAGTTGGGTGTTTTTTGCTTCTTGGTATCTCAAATCTTTGACTTGATTCTTGGGATCCTCTAGTCTGCTGTTGGATCTCTGTATATTATTCTTTATTTCCGTCAGTATACGCTTAATTTCTAATTGGTCCTTTTTCATATCCTTGAGGTTCTCACTATATTTCTCGGAGGTTTCTAGAAGATTCTTGAGTAACCTTATAACCGTGGTTTTGAACTATATCCAGTAGTTTGCTTTTCTCCATTTCTTTCATTTGTGACCTGTTTCTTTGTCTCCTCATTTTGGCTGCCTCCCTGTGTTGATAGAATGGTTTTCTGTGCTAGGTGTCCTATAGGGCCCAGTTGCTCAGCCTCCCCAGTTGCCTGAGGTGGACACTCTTGGTGCACCCCTTTGTGGGCTGTGTGCACAGTCTTGTTGTAGTTAAGCCTTTATTGCTGTTGGTATCACTGAGAGGAATTGACCTCCAGGCCAATTGGCTGTGAGGACCAGTTGGGTCTACAATGGGAGAATTTCTATGCTGGAGACACCCTTATGGGGCAGGACTTGCTTCAGTGGGGCTTTGATGCTCACTGAGTCTGCCCCCTGAGTGTGTCTCTTATGGATGTGAAGAGTTGTAATCTGGATGGTCTCACTCTGACCACTGGGTACATTGGCTCTTGGATCTCCAAGGAGGTGCAAAGTCAGCCACTGCCTGAGGCCACCCAGCAGGAGCTACAGAGAGATCTGCAGATTCCTCCTCTTTGTTTGGGCTTTGGAGGTGCCCAGATGAGGCACAGCTGTGAAGCAATGCAAGCTGCCTACGAGCCTTAGGCCTTCTTTTGGAAGCTCTGGGGTTCTCTGACCCAGCTGCAGTTTGACAGGTTTTTAGGCGGAGAAAGGCCAGGCCATTCATATGCAAAAGTCTCTGCACATAGCTTGGGTGGGGTTGTAAATTGGGTGGGGCAGGGTCTCAGGGAATCACCATGGCAGAGCAAATAGCAATGGCTGCCAATCTGCTCTGCCTCAGAGAGGTCCCAGGGTCTCTATGTCCCGCAGCCCCGTGCAGGGACAATGACCTCTACAAGCACCTCTGCGAGAAAGCTGCCCTCACATTCCAGCCTGATGCCAGACAGTCCAGTTTCTTCCCGCATGAGTCTGGGTCCCCAGATTCTCACCCAGAACTGGAGTTCAGAGCAGTCGGGAGCTTTTATCTCCCTCCCGATTGAAAAAGACAACAGCATACCCAGCTGCCAGCCCCTTTCGTGTGTGCCTCCCTACCTCCACATCTCCACACCTCTGCACCTCCTACCGGACTTAATGCGCTTTTCTCTTTCCTTTTAGTTGTAGTTTTAATGTGGTTGTGCGCAGCAGCAAGTTCAGGTGTTAACCTATGCCGCCATCTTGGTTGTCTCCCTTCTGTATTTTATAATGTGACTATGTAATATTTTGATGATCAAATTATCTTTATTTCTGAAAATGAGTAAAATGTATCACAGCAAAATTAAAGTATTAAAAAGTACTATTATTTCATAAGCATTGTAGAAGAATTTGATCATATTCAATGATCAAATACTCATACTCATTCCTGATTTTTCAAAATAGCTAGATAGGAATGGTAAGGTGATTTCTTTCTCTCTTTTTTTAATTCTTTATTGTTTAAAGTATTACATGGGTCTCCTTTTTCCCCCCATTGACCTCTCCCCTGCCACCTCCTCCCCCAAGCACAAGCCCTCACACCCCCACCCCCACTGTCTGTGTCCATTGGTTTTGCTCATATGCATGCATACAAGTCCTTTGGTTGATCTCTTATCCCTTCATTCCCGGCCTTCCCTTATAGGTTGTACAGTCTATTCGATGCTTTTATGTCTTTGGTTCTATTTTTGTTCAGCAGTTTATGTTGTTCATGATATTCCCCAAATGGGTGAGATCATGTGATATTTATCTTTCTCTGACTGGCTTATTTCACTTAGCATAATGCTCTCTAGTTCCATCCATGCTGTTGCAAATGGTAAGAATTCCTTCTTTTTTACAGCACCATAGAATTCCATTGTGTAGATGTATTTTTATAATTAGGAAGGGGAAGGTGGTATAAATACCTGAGGGGAAATAGGTCTTCTGGTCTGTGTGTAACATAGGCAAGTAGCAGTCTTACTATCATTTCCAGTGCTCTGCCCCCCATCCTGCTAACCTTGTAACAGAGAAATCTAAGATTACTAGTGTCTGTGTCCCCTTGGGAAAAGGTTCAGTAGAAAAGACTGAGAGAGAGAGAAGAGTGTGTCTTATCTTTGGTGTATATTTGGTCTTTGGTTACTCTCACTATGTAAGTTCGGGCAAGTAGCTTAACACTGCTGTGCCTGTATCTTTCTTAACAAGGTTTGGGTCATATTAATATTTACCTTATTTGGATTGTTGAGAGGACTAAATAACTTAAAATATGTAATGCACTAATAATGGTGCTTGGCATATACTTAGCACTCATAAAGGTTAGCTAGTTATCATGTGTGGTGGTGATGCTGCTAATGATAGAGAAAAAGAATAATAGTTGGTATTGTTTGAGGTACTTTTTATAAATTGGACTCACTTGATCTTCGTAAACAACGCTATGAGATACTATTATCCCCATTTTCTACAGGAGGAAACTGTCACATGGCAGTTAAATAACCTCCCATGGTTATAAAGCTGGTAATTAGTAGAGCTAGGATTCAAATCAGGCATTCTGTCTCCAGGTGGTATACCCCTTCTCACAGTGAAATATCACCTCTTTAATAGCAGTAGTGATAGTTTTATTATGGCCAGATTGTTAAAGGCCTTTGACCCCAAATTGCTAGGTATATTTCTGCACCTAGAAAATCAAATGTTTCTTTAAAAGTAGGAATAGGGCCTTAGCCGGCTTGGCTCAGTGGATAGAGCGTCAGCCTGGGGACTGAAGGGTCCCAGGTTCGATCCCAGCCAAGGGCACATGCCTGGGTTGCGGGCTCGATCCCCAGTAGTGGGTGTGCAGGAGGCAGCCAATCAATGATTCTCTCTCATCATTGATGTTTCTATCTCTCTACTTCTCCCTTCCTCTCTGAAATCAATAAAGAAATATATTTTTTTAAAAAAAGTAGAATAGGGAAAAACTAAGTTAAATTTAATGATTACTGGCACCTGATGTTTAGTTTATGCCAGTCCTCCATTTATTTGCTTCTCTTTTAGTTTTGCTCTAAATACTACTGATAATGTAGGGTATCCCAAAAATATATATATACTAGTACACACTTTGAATAATTATAAAGGCAGTGTTTATTTGGATACATTTTATTTTCATTTACTAGCAATCAGCTGTTAAAGCATGTATACATTTTTTGGGACACCTTGTAGATTAGAGATCATCTATATATATAAAAGGCTAATAATGCTAAGTGTCCCCTTGGGAGTTTGACCGGAAGACTAGTAATTCGATTGCTTGCTCTGATATGCACTGACCACCAGGGGGCAGCTTGGAACATGATGGGTTACCAGTGATGGCTGGTCACATTAGAGAGTACCGGCTATGCACAGGTATCATAAATTTAAAGCACTTAATGTAACTTGAAAAAAAAAATGTTTAGGTCTTCCACCCATACTGGGATCCACTACCAGCTAAGCATATAGTAGAGACTAATAACTCTTTGTTGTTTATCATCTCTCACTTTCAGCAACATTTAAGAATAGGAACCAGGACTAGAATAAGGTCTGCTCTTAATGCCTGCTTAAGTAATATATCAAGCTGAAAGTAGTGAATTGTGGGATCACCCTATATATTTATACATTTTTAAAAGTGCCTTCAGACACATTGTTTACATTTGTCATTTTTGTTTAAACTTTGACCAAACAAATCCAGGTTGGAAGAAGTGGCAATATCCCAGCTGGAACAACAGTTGATACAGACATTACACACCCATATGAGTTTGATTTTTACCTCTGTAGTCATGCTGGAATACAGGTAAGCCTACACTTTGGATGAAATGTTTTAATTCAGGAACTCCCATTATTATGTATATATTTTTTTAATGTCAGAAAAAGGGAAAATAACCTTTTATGCACTCCAAATTGTTTCCACATAAAATTAGATGAATTTTTCAGTAAGTAAACGTCTTCCCCTTTCTTACTTTAAGAGGGACTTATGTCTATTTAATTCAGTGCTTCTTAAACATCCCAGCATCAGAGAATGAATCTGTATTCCTAGATGTCTGAGAGAATGTACCCCAAAACTGTTTTAGGCTGCTAGCAATTGATTAAAGTAGAAATTTCTGGAAGATGTACCTTACTGTATAGCTGTATTTTAAAGCTTTATATACATACTAGAGGCCCGGTTCACAAAAATTTGTGCACTCAGCGGAGAGGGGGGTGTCTCAGCCTGGCCTGTGCCCTCTCGCAGTCTGGGAGCCCTCAGGGGATGACCACCTGCTGGCTTAGGCCCGCTCCCCGGGGGGGATTGGGCCTAAGATGGCAATCAGAAATCCCTCTGGCAGCCGGCAGCCCTCGGGGGATGTCCACTTGCCAGCGGGGAGCAGGCCTAAACTGTAGTCAGACATCCTTAGCGCTGCTGAGGAGGCAGGAGAGGCTCCCACCACCACCGCTGTACTAGCAGCCATCAGCCTGGCTTGTGGCTGAGCAGAGCTCCCCTCTGTGAGAGCGCACTGACCACCAGAGGGCAGCTCCTGCATTGAGAGTCTGCCCCCTGGTGGTCAGTGTGTGTCATAGTGACCAGTCATTCCGTCATTCTGCTGTTAGGGTCAGTTTTCATATTACCCTTTTACTATATAGGATAGAGGCCTGGTGCACGGTGGGGGCCGGCTGGTTTGCCCTGAAGGGTGTCCCGGATCAGGGTGGGTGTCCCGCTTGGGTGCCTGGCCAGTCTGGGTGAGGGGCTGAGGGCCGTTTTCAGGCTGGCGGGTGACTGAAGCTCCCAACCTCTCCTTTTTTTCTTTTTGTTTTTTTTTATTCTGGGATTTATTTACCTTCTATGGCTGTCACTGGAGCTGAGAGCCGGCTTTAGCTCTGAGGCTCGGCTCCAGCTCTGAGACCTCGGCTGCTGAAAGCAGGTATCTGGGTTTGTTTGGCTTCTATAATTGAAACACTGTTGCAGCTCCAGCTCTGAGGCCGGCTGGCTGAAAGCAGGTTTCTGGGGTTTGTTTAGCTTCTATATTTGCAACATTGTTTCTTAGAGTGCAGCTCAGAGGCCGGCAGTGGCAGGCGGGGAACCTTGGCTTCCTCCATCACTGGAGCAAGCAAGCCTCCTGTTCACTTCAGCTGCCTGGCTGCCGGCTGCCATCTTGGTTGGCAGTTAATTTGCATATCACCCTATGGGAAGGGTAGCGAAGTTACGGTTAATTACCATGTTTCTCTATTATTAGATAGGCTACATCTCACATACATTAACCCCAGTTTCATTCTTACAGCTTTAAAATTCTTGTCCCACTCATTTATTTATGTACTTATACCTGCTCCTCTTTACAATCGATGTTGTACATTTTCATGGAGGGTAGTTAAAAATAAAGTTAAAAGGACCTTCTGGAGATAAAAATCTATATTATTAGAGTACATATTTACCATGTATACCAAGAAACACTACTGCTATAAATACCAGAAGAGAAAAAAGGATTTCTCTGTTCAATAAATTTTGGAAATAAGATTAAGATTAAGAATAAGATTAAGAAAAAAAAACAACCCTTTCACAAGGGTCGCCTAAGATCATCGGAAAACACATATAAAAAAAAAAAAAAAAGAATAAGATTAAGATTATTTTACTTTAGAACTTGTGGATATTACTGATAATGCAAATGAATCTTCAAGACAGGAATATTTCCCCAATGTACTTAACCAAAAACTTTAATTCTCCTTATAGCCCAATTTCTGATAATTATATGTATACATTACCTGCCTCATCTCTGGAATGTGTCTTATTCATTACTGTGTGCCTGGCACTTTATACAGGACATGGCATATAGTGAGCTATTACCTAAGATTGAATGTGTGTGAATGTATAATACATTATATAGGCATTATAAACCTGTAATTTGAGGGGTATATTTGATAATAATTTGAGTTTTATCCCCAAAATCTTGCACAGTGTCTAACAAACAAATATTTGTTAAAGTATGAGCTAATCTTTCTCCTTTACACCTTTGCCACTGCCCTTTCCTTAGTTCATACCTTCATTATCTCACACCAGAATTAATGCAACAGCCTCCTAACTGCTCTTTTTGCTTTTAGTCTCTTCCCGTTTCTAATCCATCCTCCATATTATTGCTGATGTTACTTTTAGAAAACCCCAATCTCATCACACCTAAAAACTGTAAAAAAAAAATAAAAATAATGCTTTCGCCGCAATTCTTAAGTATGTCATTCAGTCTGATTCCAAATGTTCTTTTCATCTTCATCTTTTTCCCTTCCTGTGCCAGACTCTGTTCATACTGGTCTGGTAGCCATTCCCCAAATACACCAGGAATTATGCCCCCTGTGCTTTCGGTAAAGTGGTTCGTTCTAGTGTCTCCTCACTAACCTCAACATAAAGGCCAAATCTCACTCATTCCCCACTTGGTGAAGAACCAAGGCTTACTTCCACAATTACTTGCCTTGGTATTCTCATACAGAATTAAGTGCCACGTCTTATAGCCACTTATTAGTTGTTTTATAATTGTAGATGCCCTGTCTCCTCTAGTCCTTTACAAATTATGTTTTCCAAAAGAAAGGAAATGTTTTACTTTGTTTTTCTTTGAGTCCATATTACCTAACATAGTAACTAATACATAAAAGCTCAAGTAAATGTTCTGGTGTTTTTACATTGGTAAAATATACATAACATACAATTAGCATTTTAATCATATTTAAGTATACAATTCCAGTGCATTAATTACATTCACATTGTTATGCAGCTCTGTCACCATCTATCTGAAGAATTTTTTCATCTTTCCTGACACTGTGTCCCTATTAAACACTAACCCCTCATTCCCCCTTTCTCCAGCCTCACCATTCTACTTTCTATCTCCATGAATTTGACTACTCCAGGTACCTTATATCAGTGAATCATATAATATTTGTCTTTTTGTAACTGGTGTATTTCATTTAGCATAATGTCAGCAAGGTTCATCCATGTTGTAGTATGTGTCAGACTTTTCTTCCTTTTTAAGCCTGAATGATAATATTCCATTAAATGTATATACCACATATTGTTTATCCATTCATCTATTAATGGACACTTGGGTTGCTTCCATCTTTGGGCTAATGCTGCTTTTGAGCATAGGTGTATAATAACTGTTCAAGTCCCTGCTTTCACTTTTTTTGGATGTACATCCAGAACCAACTAAATGTTTCTTAGTCCATTATTAAATCAGAATATGTTTTACTGTTGTAGAAAGCTGACTTTTTGTATAACTTCGTCTATGCTAAATATTTATTTAGAAGTTTAGAAATCAACAGAATATGTCATTGCCTTCTCTATAGGGTACCAGCCGTCCTTCACACTACCATGTTTTATGGGATGATAACTGCTTTACTGCAGATGAACTTCAGCTGCTAACTTACCAGCTCTGCCACACTTATGTGCGCTGTACACGATCTGTTTCTATACCTGCACCTGCGTATTATGCTCACCTGGTGGCATTCAGAGCCAGATATCATCTCGTAGACAAAGAACATGACAGGTAATATAAAAGCGTAACAAATACAGATTTTTACCCAAATTCACATATGGCCTACATATTAGGATTTTCTTGGGACATTTCTTTGTTTCCATGTAAATATGTGGTTCCATATAAGTATGTGGCTCTCTATTTGCCATAAAGAACTGCCATTTAGAATTAAAGTTCCATGACCTACTAGAGGAGTCAGTGGTCATATGAAAAGCAGTGATAGTCAGAACTGACTACCCGAGATGAGGGTTCCCATTAAAATGTGCAGTCTACGCTTATTAGTAATAGAATGATACAGTGACTTACTTGCTTTATCAGATTAACTCAAGGGAAAGATTGTTGATGATAAAAGTGATATATACCAACAAAATTATAGGATGTCTTAGATTTGCTTCTAAATAATCCTGAGCAAGTGAGAGAAGTAAAATTGACCATGAGTTAATTATTGAAGCTGGGTGATAGACATGTAAGATTATACCAGCCTCTATTCCTAAAAATATTTGTGAAATTTTCTACAACAAATAATAGTGTTCAGAATTATTACATCAGGATAGGGTTTGTTTGTGTGTTCATTGCCAATTCTCTTACAGTGCTGAAGGAAGTCACGTTTCAGGACAGAGCAATGGGCGAGATCCACAAGCTCTTGCCAAGGCTGTACAGATTCACCAAGATACCTTACGCACAATGTACTTTGCTTAAAAAGTTCAAGAATATTCTCTGAGATGAACAATTGAAAGATGAATTGACATACACCATATGTTTCCAGTGGAGTCCATTGAGTGGGGATGCCTCCAGCCATACAGAAACCAACACTGTGGGGACCAGGGTCTGATTTTTATGATGATACAAGGAAGATTGTTTCCTTTATCAAGGGACACAGCACCATTATGCAATATGAAACCAGCCAACTGCTTTTTTGTGCGGTCTCCTGTAGGAAGTATCGCCATTGTTTTGTTTTCACTTTCTTGTAGTGTAACCCTTTTAATGCCTTTACCTCAAGTTGCTTGGCAGCACAACTATCTTTGCAAAAAAAAAAAAAGAAAAAGGAAAAGAAAGAAAGAAAAAGGTGAATAATGGTTTTAAAAAAACACACCTACATGAATAATCAGTGATTGCTCACAATTATGTGTGCAACAAAATTAATGTGCATTCGTGTATTCTTGTAAAGTATCTGTGTATACTTTAAGTGTATACATGTATACTTCATATGCATATATATCTGGATCTGCATTGATAATAGATATATATGTTCTTTGTATATATTTTATAGTTCATTCCACTGGGAAATTTCTTTCCCTTTTATTATCCTCTCACCACCACTTTTATTTCTTGCTCCACCTCACTTGCCTCATCACCTACATTTTTTTTCCTTAATGCTACCAGTGATACTCAAATGTTCATGTATCTGGTTCATTTGAATATGAAGCATGGCAAACTAGACTTTTGTTTTTATTTTGCACACCTACTCCTGTCTCTTGATTCATACACAATTATGAGTCCTCAACTCTTGATATTGCTTTCTTAAGAAGCAAAATTATTGTGTGTGTGTTTTTATGAGAGTCTGTGTCTGTCCCCTCTTGCTCTGAACTTATATTTGCCATTTGTGCAATGTATACATAAGCAGTAGCAACCTAAACTGTTCTTTCTTCTCTAGTGAGTTTGTTAAAGCTGCTATAAATATAAAACCCTGTCAGAAGTTATAACTCTTTCTATGAGTGATACGTATTCTCCTTCTGTTTCTATGGGTTATACATGGAAATTTTTGAAGCTTTTACGAAGAGTAAATATTTTAAATGATTGGAACTCTGTAGGGTGAGGCCTCTGAAATTGGATGAAGAAAAAGAAGGGGTTGAGGTTTTTAAAAATTTTTTTTTTTTTTTGCTATTTTACTTGCTGCCTCTCATACATTAATGTGATTTCCATATATATATTTTTATATATATATGTGTGTGTGTGTGTATATATATAAACATATATGTATGTATTTTGAAGCATAGCTTCCTTTTCTTTTATATTTATTAGAATAGTGCTTTAACAATTATAGAACTGTATTGGCAACATCTTTTATAGAAATATAATCATGTTTATTTTAAGAACTAACAATTTGTTTTTGCTATCTTTTAGTGCAATAAGCAGTTTTAAAGGAAAGCTATTTGACATCTTTACCACAGATAGTGGGAGAAGCAGGCACATACATGATTTTAAAAGAGCAAAGTAATACAGCCTTAATTTCAGAAGGAAAGTTTTATAATTTTCAAGTCTAAAGCATGTCTTTAAAAATCATAATGAAAATGAAGGAAATTAATATCCTAAATGAATCTGACCTTAAATATTAAAAATAAAATTGAACTTTAATTTAAGAAATGATCATGAATAGATTAGGATTTAGAAGGTATTTAAATTCTTTGGAGATAAATCATGTTTATTGAAGAATCATACTGCTTAGGTGCCCATTTTCATTTATTAAAATGAATCAGGAAGATGTGATACTTTTTTTTAAATTTTGCTATTTTATCACATGTAACTTTCCTTTTAAAATTAGGGTTATGGTAACAAAGGAAGTTAGGGCTTGGATTATTTTAAATGAGTTAAATCACTGAAATGTGGGGGAAAGTTTTGCAAAACTTTTGTTTTATTGATTTCACTTTAAGATATTAAAAAGTACCATTAAGCTGTACCAAGTTCACCAGTAACATTGGTTTCAGGGGAGCTTTGCACTTTGTAACACATGAAATCTGCATTTTAATTTTTTTTTGCACTGGTTTAGAGTATAAATATTACAGATTGTTTTCAATGGGCATTGTTGTTAACCTTTCAAAATTCCATCTGTTTATGAAAACGAATGGATTAGCTCTATAGTTTCTCCCTTACCTGTAATCTACTCTTAATTGCCAACTTACTGTATTTTGAGCCTAAAATCTGAGCCCATGTCCTCCAGTAGCTATGGAATCTTTTGTCCTTCTACCAGAAAACTAAGAAAGTACTGTATTTTGTATGTTTATTATATTGATGTGTCTGAAATGCAATTTACAACTGTTTCAAAGCTCTTTACACGAGGTAGTATTTGTATAGTATATACATTTTTTCTCCCAACCCTCCCTGCTCTCCTCCAAAAAATACCTATAAAGCAAGGTGTTTAGGGTTTTTTACATTGAAATTTTACTAAATATAGTAGTCAGGAACATGGGCAAGAGAAGAAAATAGTGTTTTCTAGATGGTAAAAACTTGATTGTTGTGTGCTTGCTCGGTATGAGAAAACATCTTCATTTATCAATGGGAGTTACACAGATTCATGTGGGAAACTTTAGGGCCCAGGGAAGAACTGTGTTCTATTCTTATTTCCTGCTTTACCTAATTTTCAGTTACTTAATTTCACTTGCGCTAGAGTGAAGCCCATAATTTAAATTTATTTGGAAGGACTTTTACAAAGGGAAAAAATTTTTTTAAATATAAACCTTTACCTTTGAAGTGAGTTCTTTTTTAGGGTTTCTTACAGTTTCAACATTAATAGTTTAAGGTTGGTTAACTTGAAAAAGTATGTATAGTATATTTTTACTTTGCTTACTATGCTTACTAACAAATTAGTATGTCAAACTTAATTACAAGAAACCTTGTACTTAAGAGTTTTAAGATAGAAGACTAAGAGACAAATAACTTTTTGATTTTTGTTTTAATTATTGCATTTCTGGTGTAGAATTCCTGATCTTTTTCATTTTTTAAAGAAGGTTGTTCAAATTTAATGGCCATGAAACTGAACAGCGACCTTTCTGTTCCTGCCCTTGCTCACTAACTATATGATGAATGCTGTTTTCTGTGATGTAGGAGTGACTTCAAAATGTCAGTGCCAGCAGCTGGTATAATTGATTTTCATGTGAAGAAAAGTTGGGAGTTTAATTATACTACTCTGGATAGCAAATGAGTCTGTGTAAATTGCTGTTACATGTTATTATATTATAGTAGCAAGTTACTGGCATTGAGGACCATACATTTATAATACTGTAGCTGCTATATTTATTTAAGTAGAGTCTGACAGTTACTGCACTAAACAATAAGGAGATGAACAAGTTTCAAGGCTAGTGTTAGACCCCCTACCCCACTCTCTTTTTTTTTTTTTTCTAAATAAGATTAAGAACATGAAATATCATGATAACAAAGGGTGCTGCCATTTTAGTTTCAATTTAATATCAGGACACTATTTCTTTTTTAATTTATCTTTATTTGTTGAAAGTATTACAGATGCCTCCTTTTTTCCCCATTGATCCCCTCTAGCCGAAACATGGATTTTTACTTTAGCATTTTAGAAAAAGGGTACCTCAACCTCCTCAGTACTGGTTTTGGCATATTTTCACAGAAATAAAGATGCCCTTTATTTTTTTCTTAATATTTTACCTTTTAACAAAAGGTTTCTCAGAAAAAAAAATTTCTTCTATGGAAAGCTTCCTATTTGTAACCTATTAATTTATTTAAGAGCGTCTAGAAGGGATTCTAGTAGGAATGTACTGGGTGTTCTGGAAGGCACATGATAAAGATTCATCTCTTCCTTCTAGCATAGGGACTCCTGACCTTCTACTAGTAAAGTCCTATACTAGTTTTCCAAACTAGGTTCTCTGATGACCCACCACTGCCTAATGTTTACTTTTATATTTTTCCTAAAATGGATTTTAGTATGCTAGACATCATGACAGACCTAAGGTATGTCTAGAGAAATAAAAGCCGGGTTGTCATTTAGTAGAAGTGGCTGACAGAGGATCTGGGTGTTTAAAGAAAAGGTGAACACTCAGAGTGGCAGTAATAGATCTGAAGTAATTAGATGGATTATAAGCTAGGAATTAGGGACTGTCATTCAAGGAATGTGGTGAGTTTCACATGCTGACATGAATTTACCAGGAGTGATGATTTTTATGAAAGCAATGAAGCCAGCCACTTGGATTTAGCTAGAATATTTTGTAGTCTTGCTATGTCAAACTTGATAGTAATGTTTTGCCAAGAAGTTTAACACAGCTCTGCATAATGTTTATTCAGTATCATAAAACCGGAGTTAAATATTTGCTTAACTCATCATCTTAGATGTTTCCCTATTGAATAATTTTTTTTAATATATTTTATTGATTCTTTACAGAGAGGAAGGAAGAGGGAGAGAGATACAGAGTTAGACACATCGATGAGAGAGAACCATCGATCAGCTGCCTCCTGCACGCCCCCCACTGGGGATGTGCCCGCAACCCAGGTACATGCCCTTGACCAGAATCGAACCTGAGACCCTTCAGTCGGCAGGCTGACGCTCCATCCGCAGAGCCAAACCAGCCAGGGCCCTATTGAATACTTTTTAAAGACAGTTTGCCTGAACAGTAACTTGCTACTTAAATTACCTTTTAGGAGTTATCAGTCAAGATTCATTGGCCCAGCATCTTTATTTTGGCTTTTTATCCCTATGAAGTTTTAATCCTTTTCATTCTTTTTTTTTTTTTTTTAATTTTATTTTATTGCTTACAGTCTTACAAAGGGTATTACATATGTGTCCCTTTTTTTCCCCCGCCCTTGACAATCCCCTGGCCTCCCCTACCCCCCAGTGTCTTATGTCCATTGGTTATGCTTATATGCATGCATACAAGTCCTTTGGTTGATCTCTTACACCCCTCCCTCCTTCCCCCAAATCCTTTTCAATCTTTTTGAGAATTCATGGATGTTTTAAAGCTACAATCATAATAGCTGGGAGACTATATCAAGTGAGGCCTTCCTGAGTGGCAGTCTAACCTTGACTCTAAACTCTGTCTTTATTTTCCTGTTTCCCTCCCATTTAATCATATAAAGCACTTTTGTGATTCTATAGGAGTCAAAAGATAAGCCAAGAAAAATTGGTAAAATCAGTACTACAAAATGTGAAAGTCAGAATTTTCTCCAAAAAAATCTTGTTGCTTATACTAAGAAAATTCTTGATCAGTGGCACTGTTAGAAATTATACTGTGATTAGTGAAACCTAAGCTGACTCCCAGGAAGAATAACATTTCCCCTCCTCCTCCTTTTTGTCATATATCTATAAATAACACAAAGGAAAAATATTTTTACATTTTCCTACTTTTAAAAACGGTACATTTCAGTTTACAAGTTCACATGTCAGTCAAAATAATTTCTTTTTAACTAAGATATTATTGTCAAGGCTTGTACTAATATCTACTACTAGTTGAATTTTATTTTTATTTACCCATCAAAGATAGTACTCTAGATTTTTACATTGTTGATTAAGCCTCAAGAATCTTTTGCTCTTAAGGTATGTAAGTTAAAGGTTCTAATTGAATTAAAGATAGATAATAAATATAATATGGATGATTGAGATTTACCAATGAGAAACCTGTTGAAATATCAGATAACAAACAGTGTGACAAAATTAAAATCCTATCTAATCATATATCCAGCTATTGGTCTTTCTTCCTTTCTGTAATCAATGTCTGAAGTATCCAAAATTTAATGTTGTATCTAGGGTAAAACAAAGGTATTCTTTGGGGTGAACACTGTATTAAATTTTTTAATCATTTTTTTTTTAAAGCAAGGCGGTTCTTAGAAAGTGCCTTTTCAGAAGATGGTGCTATAGATTTTTATTTTTCAACTAGCATGAGGCTAAAACTTTAAAAAATAAATTATTTTAGAACTCCAAGAGTGTGACAGTTTCATATAAATGTTATATGTTGTCCTGAATCTGGTCCAAGGGAATGAAGTAAAACGTTTATTCAGTAAAGTATCTAGGTAAATGCTCACCAAATATATTTTGTAAGTTTGAAAACAAACTTTAAATGCTTTTATTTCTCAGCTGTGTTGAAGGTAATCTGTAAGGCACATAAAACAGCAAATCTGCTTAACTTTTTAACAAGAATATGGGTGAAGTAGCAAGTGCCCAAAGGGAAAGGAATTACATGTCATAGGCTACCTTTCCTTCCCCCCGCCCCCCCCCCCCCCCCAGCACAGACTGACCCTTTTGTAAATATCTATTGGCCACCATTTCTAAATATTTTTTATTAAAGAAGACTGCTTATAAAGGGACAGCCAAGTCATGGAAATCAGTATAAGAGAAAAAGTAAAATGATAATGTCTCTATATTTAGGGAAGTTTTCTGTTTTAGGAATCAAGATTAAGTTACTCTCTTTTTTCTAGCATGGGGGAAACTAAGAAAAATGATGACAGTGCATCTAAAAGGGTATGATCAGTTCATTAGATATAGAACATGCAAAATTGGGCTTTGGGGGAAATAAGTAAAAGGAAGGATAATAGCGGGACCATTCACACTTACTAGAAATTTGGTAATCTACCAGAAAGCAATTTTCTCCCAGACTAGGAACAGTAAACAGCAGTAAATGATCCCTAACCAGTTCTTGCTCATGAATTTGGTGAGCATTTCTCCAAAAAGGAGTAGACTGAAAACAAAAAAACTACACCTCAGTAACCTTCAATGCTGCATTATGTAATAATGATAGTAAAATTATACTGTTTGTTTGGAGTGTTCTGTCTGTTTGCAAATATGCATGCACATTAAACTTCTTCATTTTTATAATGTCTTAATAGCAATTATGAGTTTATTTTTTTAATATTAATTATTCTAATGTTTATATTTATTGGCAATTTGTGTGCAACTTTTATATTTTGCTTAGATGTTAAGGTATTTTATTTTTATAAATATGTCTAGCTTTTCTTCTTCCTTTGTAATATTATTAGCAAAGATTAAGATGGAATGTTAATATACCAACCAAACTACTAATTCTATAAAGTCTAGAATTTGGATTTTTACCAATAAACCATTAACACTATTTTCTAACTTAGAATTATTCAATGTTGTTTATATAATGGGCATTAAAGACTGTCTTTAGACAGATTTCTAAATGTGGAGGGGAAGTGGGGCCTTTCTATAAGTTAGATGTCTTTCCCTTAAGTAGCAAACTAACACTAACAGATTGGATTTACTTGATCTGATCGGCAGTTTTGGAGCAACTTGTCAAATAAACGAGTGTTGTATTTCTTTAACTTCAGCTGCATTGAAACTG